TTGCAGTTCCAGATGGAAAAAAATTCGGCTGCTTCGAGATTTTGACCCGACAATTTTGACAAGACTGATCGACGAAAACCTGGCATGAGAAGACGTGCGACTTACACAGCTGGACGAAGAAACAAAGGTTTGGTGGAGCAATCTACAACATAACAAGAACAGCAGGTAGGAGTTGAGAACAATAACAATAATTACAAAGACGAGAAAGTTTATAGTCAAACATGGAATAACAGAGTGTTTGCTGCGCACATGCTCTCCCATTTTGTTTCATAAGTTCAAAATTTTATAGGTGTTTCTTCCGTACGTAAATATAACAAAGTCTGCATTGGGCTTATGTTTCGCAGTCATATGCATACACTAATAAACCAAGGATAACCACGAGAAGAGACAGGAGTTCTGCCATCTCATCATCCCATAAACCATGTATAAGATTCAGGCACTATGGGGAACGAGAAGCATGACAGTTTCCTTTATAAATATTGAGCGAAATTGGACAATGCACAAGTATAAGTGTATCAAAGGCGTGCACTTTGCCATTTCTCGCCATGAATCAGCATGTCCAGAAATATAAGAAATGAACCATGTGGAATATAGCACGTGCGACCAATAACATCTCGGGTAGTCACAAAGTAGCATATATTGCAGGTATCAACGATCTGCGCAATGACAGAATGAATATACTAACAAAGTTCCGGGGAAGACATGATGGTTGTGTTAGGATTCAACCCCTATAACACCGTGAAGCACATGCCATAGATGATGACATCAAAGTCAACAAACTCAAACAATAAGTAACCAATCATTATTCTCAGAGGTAGGGGGGGTCTTGCATTGACAGACGAGAATGGTGTCTTGGATAAAACACAAACCAAAACAAAATCCTCCTGAGGTCACCGGACTTGAACAAAGCCGAGAAATATTCCTCAGTGTATTTGTTGTAGTAATCGCTTGGTTACCTGATAGTAATCAAGTGTGATAGTGTGTGTGTGAGTAAGAGGGAAAGACTGTCTTATAATAAGACAGAGAGAATGACCGAGTAATAAGTGACCGAGTTGACAGATAACCGATTGACAGATGACCGAGTTATGACTTGCTTGATGCCTATAATGGTATGCCTGAATAACACTGCATTCAGGTAAGTATGAACTTGAGTATATACCGATTAGTGACTACTGGGGTGAGAAGAATGCTCTGTAACGTAAGAGCAACAATTTTCCTCTGGAAGTCCAAGTGGACTTTCAGGGTTTATATACTAAAGAAGGTGGGAAAATCTAAATAATAGAAAAGTGCCTTCAATAGAAATAACAATAGAAAATGTGATAATAGAAGTCTGAGTCATAACAATAAGAAATGACTCTGGATAAAACAAAAGAGAGTGGGGGATAATAAAAATAATAAAGACAATAGAAACCTACCTCGCTATTGTCCTTCTAAGTGTCAGACATTAGTCAGCAAAGATGACCAAGCACTTCAGTGACTAAAAACAGACAGAGTAATAGTGCAAACATGCAGTGATCAATATTTGAGTATAATACTTGGACGTGTGTAAGTGGAGAGGTTGAGCAAGTGTGACAGCGAGTACAAAGAAAAATTCCTCGTCAATCCTAAACCCACGATATTCCCTTCCCTCTGAATCCTTCAGCATCAACTTCTTCCTGGTCTCCAGTGCATGTAAAGTCTAGCTCATAAGCTTCGCCCTAAAGATGAGCTCTGGCACGTGCAGCCTTGGCAGCTTTGGCCTTGGCTTTTGTCGCCTTATTGTTGGCCTTGACCTTGAATCGCTCCGCTTGCCAAGCTTGATATCTAGAGTATTACATTAGTTATGCGAGTTTTATATTGAAACATGTTACACATCTGTCAGCATACTGCTGCGCACTTTCGGAGGTGGAGAAACCTCTCTGCGCTCGGTAAAAAGTGTCACCTTATGTAAGCAGCTTTAGGCAGAGGAAACCTAAAGCGGGCGGTTCAGCAACTGCTGTGCCTTCCACGGCTCAACTATGCAAAAATAAATTGTCAGTGAAGTTGGTGATGTGTGGGTATATCTTAGGGATCCTGAAAATAAATTTAGAACATGTTATCAGATGGTTTTGAGCAATTCTCATGAGGTTTTGATACTTAGATGCTGATTAAAAGTCACTCAAACAGGCAACTTGCACGTCGACCATGCTGACCAAGCAGGGTCTTTCCTTTCAGTCCTCCGCATATTACAAGGCTTAGCTGAGCTTTGTCACTCATCTCGGAAAGTTCGGATAGTTCGGGATATAGATAATTAATGTAGTAGAACATTATGTCAAGATGAAAATTTTGTAAATGCTCTGCATGTGAAGATAGATCATGGAACCAGTGTCCAATGAGCTGTTCTCAAAAATTTGTTCTGATGAAAATGATCTAAACTGAAGACTCTATCTTTGTTCCCACCAAAGCCAAATGTGCTCTTGAGCTGACGATGCTGCACCAGCTGGGACCGCTATTGCAGCCACAATACGCTTAGGTGCCCAGATGCGCATCTACCACATTTGGCAGAGGATTGCTGGTCCCCAGTACTACAGTGTAACAGCATCACTTTGCACACCATATTGCCTTTACTAGATTTCCCAGACTCATAGGATACATTGCCAAAATTTGAGTAGGCAGAAATTTTCTAAGTTGTCTTAGGATGCATATATACATTTTTCAAGATTTTATTCAGGTGAGGATAGGTATGTAGTATGTACAGGCCTCGGACTAAGCAAGGTCGGAATGGAATGAAATGCACCACTTTGCACACTCATCTGTCAACCTACCCTGGATTTTTTCCTCATATGTGGGCTTATAGGGGATGCCAACTTACACTGTGGGTTCACTGAGTGAGTGGTAACTCATACAGTCTTATACCAGTCCTTCATTCACCCAAATCTTGCCCACCTCTGTATGTATGACCCATCAGGAAAACTCAACTTTTACTTAAAGGTGTCCTTATGCAACTTAAATGCACTTATGGGCCTTAAATAAGATAAAAAAGGACAAAAGTCCTTAAGTCATATTTCCTTAGAGGCTTAAAAGTCGACTTTTGGAAACTCTAATCAGCACATACCTAAGTGGAGACTTGGGAGTGCTGCATGCTCGCAGTCTGGTTTAGGCAAAATGGACCGCCCTCACAACTGAGGATGGCCCTGACATAAATACATTGCCCATGCGGACGCATCGTGATTCACGCCCGGTGGATCGGAGGACGATCGTGTATGACATCCTATAAAACGACGTAAAAGAAGGTGGAGGAGGGGTGGCTGGTGGTGTAGAATTGGATAGGAGCTATACGAGGGGGGCAGGTTGGTGGAATTGTGCAGCCATGAAGCAGTGCCTGGAGCACGACAGGGTTCTTACGAATGTAAATTTTGAAAGCTTCTGATGACCAGCGGCCAAGGGCTTGGATACAATCATTAGGCCAACCCGCCACTGCGAAGAAGGTAGCACTGCCAGCGTGGAGGGAGTGGCTGGCAACATTGTCGCAGAGGTGAAGGTGTAGCTGTGCAAGAAACCATGACTGAGTGGGGGGGGGTTCCTGCTGCAGTAAGGAAAAGGGTGAAGTGGAAAGGGAAAAGCTGGTTATGAGAATTGAGATAGCAAAGAAAAGGGCACTGTGGATTGATTGCATCGCGGTACGATTCAATGATAATGGTGCTGCTGTGGAAAAGGTGGTCGGCTTTGTGAGTAGAGAGAATATAGCCGAAAGTGTCATTGTAGAAAAGCACCGCGAAGTGTCGGATGAGCTTCCTGGTACTGCAGAGGTGAAAATTGTCAGGCCAGGTTAGCTCACCAAGGCGGTGCAGGGTGAAGAAGCTGCATGTCAGAATTGCACAGAAAAGGAAGTTATCGTGGGAAGGGACAGTGAAAGCATGAAGCAAAAGCTGCAGATCTTCAACATCAAGCAGGCATTCGCAGTTAGGTGATGTGTTGAACATGCGTTTGCACCCTGCAAGGGTGCGAGAAATGAGATGTCCTCAGTGTACACTGCGTACAGCTGGAAAGACATGCTCGAGCTAATTACATATCTCAGAGAGGTAAGAATCAATGAATTCAGGACGAATGTGATGGCACATGAAGACAACATAAAAAGAGAGGGTGTCGGGGGTAGGTTCAATGGGAAAACTATGGATTTTGCAGAAAGTAAGATATGACTGGAGGTGAGAAGTATATGTGAGATGAGTTGAATGGTCAATAGCATGCCCAAGAGCAACAGCATGCTCGCGGACAAGGTGATCATACGTCCACGGCTTCCTGCGAGGTTGCCAGGCCAATGAGGAGGTAGAAATTATGCTGCGGAACCCCCTAACGAGAGACAAGAGGGTATGAAAAAGTGGATTTGCAGAGATGGTACAGACTGCAGGGCAACATCAAAAAGCTGGCAGGAGAGTGCATCAGCCACGACATTGTCGGTACTGATAATGTGCCAAACCCGGAGGTCAGTATTATTAGCAATCAGTAAGCCGCAAGCATGTAGGAGGAGGTCTTCAAAACCACTGCAGCCACGAAAGGAATCGAAGATCTGCACAGTATTGAGGTTATCTGTGAAGATGGCCACACGATGATATCATGTGGGTAAGGAGATAGCCCACTCAAGAGCCACTACAACTGTGAGGGCTTCGAAGAAAAATATAAGGTCTTCTCAGTGGCTCGAAGGTGGCGGTGTGTCAGCTACGAAGGCTAAAGACATCGCTGGGCACCAGAAGCCATCCCACATCACGAAAAACACCTTTAGCCCTGAGATGCTCTGAGAGCACCCTAGAGTGTCCTAGGGTGCATGAGAGCATTCAGAGCTTCAGAGCACTCGGAGTGCTCTGAGAGCAAGGTTGTTATAGCCAAATCTCTGGGAGTAACTCAGTGCACTCTCAAACCATACTTAAGTAGCTCTCAGACAATCTCTAGTTCTTTCAGATCATCCCTTATACTCTCAGAGCTGACTGATATTCAAATACAAATGATAAAATATATTGAATTAAGACTAACAACTAAATAACTAGCTAATGGGAGCCACACAGATTGCACAGGTATGGCTGAACAACCATCTCTGCCATTAATAATGTGCTCACCCACATGCTCACACCCCCCAGCACCCCACCCAGCTCCAGCACGACATCCAGGCAGCTCCACCTGCCTGTGCACCACTCCTCGTGCTATACGTACCCATGCATCAGTGCACACAATTGACGACATGCACAAAGGGGGCTCACCTGCCGGAGCCACACTTGCATGTCCCGCACACCATCCTCTGCTGTGTGCTCATGGTGGAGTGCCATGATCGCTCTGCAGATGTTGCCATTCACAGACTTGATGATGGCATTCAGCAATTCCTTTGCAGGCAATGCACCTATGGCTGCAGCAGCAAAGTGCATGTCCAGCAGGTGCTGCAGTGCATGCTTGAGCAGCATTGGCACTATTGGGTTAAACCTGCAATGCAACATCATCAGCAATGAGCCAGTGATCAGTGTACCAAAGCATTCTCACAAGCAGGATATCACTGTATAGCAGGGAGCACACTTCAGATATCAAGCATGTTCCAGCTGCATGCCTGCCAAATGCCCACATCCTCCCCACCATCTTCACCCCGCAAGCCCACATTACTGATGATCAACACCGGCAGCATGGATGAGTGGCTGACAGACCCTCATCCAGGAGCGCGCTCAGCATGCAGAGCTGGGAGGCATGCAGGGAGGGCGAGGTGGAGCATGGGAAGTGTGGGCATGTGAGGAGAAGACGATGAACATCAAGCAGCAAATGCGAGGGATGCAGTGTCATGCAGGGTGCTCCAGGAGGAGGAGTGCCAGGAGAGGGTGAAGGCAAGGAGGGAGGCGGCCCAGCTGGGCTTGAACGTAGATGAACATGATGCCGATGCACCACATAGTGGATGAAAACCAGATCTAGAGGGAGTAGTGGTGAAATAAATCATTGAAACAAACATGAAGCAGAGACAGAGAGGAGGCTGTACCTTGCGGCCCTCATGGATATCAATAAGGTACCAGCAACAAGTTTTCTGGAGGCTTCAGAAAATGCGAAGTTCATTTGAGAAAGTCACGTGCCTGTGAACTTCGTAAAATCTACTGTAGTCCATGCCTGCATTCGAGCTTCAAGACTTTTGCCCTCCCCTGATCCTCGACCCATCCACGATTATCTCTCCATCCCTCCTCGCATTTGGCATCTGCTCTCAAGTCTGCCCCGAGCTCTCTGACTGCATCTTTGTCCTCCATCCATGGTGCACGATCATGCTCCAGCTTGCACCCAGGCTTGCCCTTGCACACATGCCCCCCACAGTCCATCGCACTCCCACTGTCTGCACTGGCCAACCTGGCCCCATTGCGGGCTCATTCCGTGCATATGCACATGCACACCCACATGCCTCAACCTTTGCCACCTCATCGTTGTGCCACCCCACACTGTTTTTTCTCCCTCCATCATCTGCCCCCTGACACACATCACATTTGTCCTGTCTCACAGCTTACAGATGGCTTCCCAGGTGCGTGCTGTGCGATAACATGCTAACGATGCCACCGTGCAGATGACATTGTCCGTGCGTGGCTGTGCACACTCGGTGTGGAAGAACATCACTTCACGATACAGAGTGGTGCGTCTCATCCCGCTGAGCTCACCATTCATCCCTACTGCTGCCCCATCACGTAATGCCATCCCAGTGATCATCATCCAAGTTCCTCGGGGTGTGCCATTGATGAACTTTTCGTGGAATGAGAAGGCACCGAGCCTGGTGGTGACCTCGTCGATCGACACAATATGCACAGCGTGGAACATCGACACCTCAGTGGCGATCACCCAGCTCATCATGCACGATTGCGAGGTGTACGACGTCATGTGGCTGTCAGGGGCAACAGACATTTTTGTGTCCATCGGCATGGATGGGAGCCTTCACATGTTTGACCTGCACAGTCTGGAGCATTTGACAATCCTGTATGAGACTCCAGCACCGAAGAATGTGCAACCGCCGCCCACGTCACCATCTGCATCTATGCGCCCGCTGACATCGCCACTGCTGCAGATCGCATTCAACCTGAATGACTCGAATTACATGTCAACATTCCACATGGATGGTGTGAACATGCAGATCCTGAACATGAGGAGCCTGGGATCACCTGTGATGGAGCTGCGAGGACACTGCACACAGGTGAATGCCCTTGGCTGGTGATCGGCCGCTAGCCTGCTCTTGGCTACTGCAGGTGTGTGCACTAGTTGTACACAGTTGACGCCGCTCACCGACTGTTCTGGTGCAGGTAATGACTGCCAGCTGCTGCTGTGGGACCTGTCATCTTACACGCAATTACTGTCGACCTCTCCACGGACTACGAGCACATCTTCAACATCAGCAGGAGCTGGAGCAATGTGTGCCCCCTCTCATCTACCCTCAGTGAACAATCTGGTGCGGGTACCCAGCACCCACATTGGATCCTGTTCTTTGACGATGTGCAGGCCATCCTCTTCCTCGTGCCACTCATGTTCAACCTCATGCTCGAGAAGGACCTGCATGTGAACTGGCTCATGTGTTACGCGGCAGCAAAACACGAGCGTCTAGTCGAGTCGTTACGAGACAAGGTCTTAGTCTAAGACACAAGTCCGTTCAAGTGACACTTCTGGCGATGTGCTCGCACTGAAGGTCGATCAGAGTTTGTTCTTATGACTCGTAGTAGCTGTCTGCTACTGACGGTCGATCTCAGTCAAAGGCAAGTGAAAAGCTGGTTTAATGGTAACCAGGTCGAGATGGGGATTCAGCTCGACAAGGTCGTTTACTTATACAAAAGGTATCCGCAGTACTACGCAGTAATGCAGGATCGTTCATTGGCTAGATAAGGTGAAACGATATCTGGGCAAGGTAACAGCGAGGAAGTAATATGTATGAGAAAGCTGAGTAAGGTCGTAAGAGATAATCAGTACTAATGGGGATAATGAGTCGTGTATCAGAACGAGGTAAAGATGAGGCGTACATGCACGTCTTGCATGCGCGATAAGAAGAAGGTCCGGAGTTGGATCCGGTGTAACCCTAGACTAGGGGTTCTGGACATCTGGGTAAAGAATCGGAGGTTGCGCTCCAATGAGTCACGTGTTGGATCACGTGGTCTGGTAACGTAAAGGGAACAAGGAAAAGAAAAAGAAAAGACGCGCCACAAGTGGGGAGCGTTGTAACATCAGCTCCCGTCTAACGTTTCTTGTCCCACAAGAAATATTGTGATCTTCATCGTCGTCGGGGGCAGTCGCGGACATAATGATCTCCTCCACATCTGTAGCATGTCCGCCGGCTGGTTCGTGATCCTTGTTCGGGGATACGTCCATCCCTGTAGGGATGACTGCAACGTGAAGAAGTGGATGCAGTCGAGAAAGATGGTTGGGATAACGGAGATCGTCCACTGGGTACGTGCGAACGAGGAGGGCGAGGTCGAACGGGAATTGGTTCTGGTGACGAGCGAGGAGTGGATGCGGGTATTCCATTAGTGGTGTATCCGAGGATGTGTCCGATGTCTTCGTCCCCATGCTCCCTCCAAATCTCCTGTGCTGTACGAGTGACCGTACTGCGCATCAACGACCAGACTTGGTCGACTCTGGTCCGGGCTCTACTCGTCCTTTCTTCTGCTGCGATGAGCTCTTGTCTGGCCGTCTGCATCCACTCGACCATTTCTAATGCTCGTTGCATGGAAACCACCGCTTGTCGATCTTGCGGGCGATTTCGTAAGGCGACGAGGATATCTGTGAAGTCGACAGGAACACGGATAGCCGAGACCAGACGTGTGGCAAATTCTTGTTCGTCCGATGCATGACTGAGTTCGATAGAAGGTGAGGGCGATGAGGTGCGGATAAAGGGTGTCTGTGCTCGAGAGGGTACTCCATTGACAAGCGTAGGCGATGCGGGTATGCTCATAATTGTGGAGGCGACTTCAGCGAGTATATTGTGAACAAGGTCGTCTATAGCGGAAGTGGGCATTGATGATATGTCGTTTTCTCCCCCTTTTTATACCTTTCGGTCGTTAAGGGGGTCGCGGTTATCTGTGATGTGAAATAGAATGTCGTGGATCCGGGTAATAATCAAATAGATGAAAATCCATTGGACGATAAAGAGTATTCCCACAGAGATAAGAGCTGCCTGATCAGTTCCAGGCATCGTTCTGATCACCCCAGCCGTTAGCGTGCGGGCTGTCTCGCGTGAAGAGTGTGTGTTCGACAAGTTGTCTGATAAGGATTCGGTGGATGATCCAAAGAAAGGCGAGGGTTGTGCAGTGGAGGACGATTAGGAAGATGATGAGGAAAACCGTCGTGGTAGTCATTCCGGGTTTCTTCTCCTCTACTGGATTCCCCTGGTCCTTTTATATGCATCGAGGATTCGCTTGGCATTCTGTAAATTGTGGGTGGGTTCCCACGAGTTTTCTGCTGAAGAATATCCCTTCCACTTGACTAAGTACCTCAGATGACCTCGGTACGTCTTGTGATTCAGGATGGCTTCGACTTCGTACTCTTCCTTGTTATCAACGACATCAGGTGGTGGGTTCATGTAATTCGGACCATGTATGTCGTTTTCGCGATAAGGAGATAGAAGGGCGGCGTGGAATACGGAATGAACTCGCCAGGTCTTCAGGAGTTTGAGACGATAGTTGGCCGGTCCGATGACTTCGACAATTTCGAATGGCCCCTCACGCTTTGGTGCTATCTTGCGCGAGGCATAATTGACCTTCAGGTTCCTCGAGTCTAGCCAGACCTTCTGTCTTAGTGTAAACTTCGGCGATCCTTGTCTGACTCGGTCCGCCATCTGTTGTCGGGCTAACTCGTGCATGGCTAGTGCTTCTAGTCTTATCTTCTGCAACATGTCAAGCCTGGATTCAACCGATGGAATGTTCGTGGTCGGAAATACGGAAGGGAGTCCACGTGGTTCGTATCCCATCATGATGCGGAATGGGCTCATCTTCCGTGCTGAGTGTTCCCTTGTGTTATGACAAAACTCGAGGTCTGGCAGGCGGTCGGCCCATGTTTCAGGGTTGTTTCCGCAATAGAGTCGAAGATAGATTTCCAGCTCCTGGTTGACTCGCTCTGTTTCTCCGTCCGTCTGAGGGTGATAAGCTGTGCTCATTGATGATCTGATCTGGAGTAGTCGATTTAACTCTTGGAAGACCTTGGATGCGTATTGAGGTCCTCTATCCGAGATGATTCGGTCGGGTAATCTAAATCGCGAGTATACTTTGTCATGAAAAATCTTGGCTGTTCCTTCGGCTGTGATCGTTTTGAGGCAGGGCGTAAGAATCACCCCCTTCGTAAGGTCATGGTCTACTACGACCATAATTGAATCAAAACCGTTGGAAACGGGGAGGTCGGTAATAAAATCGGTGGTGCAACAGGAAAATGGTAATGCGTGTGGGTCGGCGGGAATTGGTTCCAAAGGAATACGAGTTGGATGAGTATTCAGTTTCATTTGTTGACAGGCGGCACAGCCTTCAACATAATTGTAGACAAATGTATACATGCCGGGCCACCAGAATTCACGACGCAACAGTTCAAGAGTATTGAGCTTTCCAGGGTGACCCATGGCAGGGGAGTCGTGATGTAGTCGAACGAGGTCACGATGAAGAGTTTCGGATGATGGAACATAAATCTTTCCCTTGTAGAGGATGACACCATCGTGAACTTCCCAGTCGGAAAGCGATGATTTCATGGGGAATGGCCCTTTGTGCGCAATCGCTTCGAGGGCTTCATGAACAATGAGGTCTTTTCCTGCGTGATTCCTGATTTCGTCGAATAGTGTCGGGGAAATGGATCGCACGAATAGTGCGTTGGGTAAAAGAATGCGATCTTCATTGTCACTTTCACTGTCATCGAGTCCATTACGACGAGAGAGCGCATCAGATTGAATCATCTGAGTGCCAGGGACATGGATGAGGTGAAGATCAAATTGTGATAATTTGAGACTCCATCGTGCTTGTCGGCGGTTTAACTTCTGAGCTGTACGGAAGTACGTGAGGTTCTTGTGATCACTGCGAACTTCGACGGGATGGGGAGAGCCTTCAAGATAATGGCGCCATTCAGTGAGGGCTCGAATGATTCCGAGGAGTTCGCGGTCATAGATTTCGTAGTTCCGTTCAGCTGGATTGAGCGTCTGTGAAATGTAGGCACAAGGATGGAGGTCTCCATTGATATCGGCTTGGTGTAAAACTGCACCCGTAGCAAACTTGGAAGCGTCGGATTCAACAATAAAGGGTTTTGCCTTGTCAGGCAGTAACAGTACTGGGGCAGTACTGAATCGTTGCTTCAATGTGTCGAAAGCTGTCTGACATGCTGTTGTCCATTCAAAAGGTGGAGATCCAGCGGCAGTGCGCGTAAGATTTGTCAATGGTTTGGCAATATCCGAGAAGTTGGCAATAAACTTCCGATAGAAGTTTCCAAACCCTAGGAAAGAGCGAACACCTTTTACCGTGCTTGGTTCAGGCCATTCTGCAATTCCTTTAAGTTTGATAGGGTCCATGCCAATGTAGTTTTCTCGAATGATCATGCCTAGAAATTCGACTTCTTTAACATCAAAGAAACACTTTTTCGGTTTAAGGAATAAGTCGTTGTCTTTGAGTCGTTGGAGTACATGTCGGGTTCGAACGTGATGTTCTTCCAAATCGTTTGAGAAGATGAGGATATCATCCATGTAAATGACTATCCATCCCTCATCGATCATGTCCTTGAAGAGTGCATTCATCATCATTTGGAAAGTCGCCGGGGAGTTGCAGAGTCCAAAGAACATGACCATAGGTTCGAAAAGTCCGCGATTTGTCTTAAATGCGCCATTCCATTGGTCACCATCTTTGATTCTGACATTGTTATATCCGGAGCGTAAATCCATTTTCGTAAAGATCGATGCGCCTTTGAATTGATCCATAAGGTCAGAAATGAGCGGGAGAGGATAGGCGTTCTTCACTGTCCCTTCATTCAGGTATCGGTAATCCTGGCAGGGACGTAGTGCTCCGTCTTTCTTTCCTACGAAGAAAAATGGTGAAGCCATGGGAGACTTCGACGGTCGAATGTATCCTTTTCGCAGATTTTCTTCCAGGAAGTCATCCATCGCTCCTTGTTCTTTGAGCGATAACGGATAGACTTTACAGTCGCGTGGAATAAAATCGGGTTTCAAGTCAATGGCGTGGTCCCAAGGCCTGGCTTCTGGAAAGCGTTCAGCTGCTTTCTTTTCAAAGACGGACTTCAAATCGTGGAGGTAGTTGGGGACCAACTTCTCGACGGTTTTGGGTTTGTCTACAGCTGATGTTTCCTTGTGTGCCTGTTGTGCCAATTCTTGTGATTTACCAGATGGTTTGTAAAAGACCGTATTCTGTGCGTTACAGAATAATGGGGATCGGGTACTGTGTGTCATTCTTCCAATGGCGGGGTCTCTTCGTATGGTGAAGACTGCTGTTTCAGTCTCTTCATTCGTCAAAGGTGACTCCTTCCTGATGGGTTCAAATATCCCAATAACTGGCTCTCCTGCAATATAGGATATAACTAGATCATTGTCATCGAGCTGATCCATAGGGGGTTCTGATGGTGGGTCATCTGGTTCGGTATCATTCCGCACTGCGGGTAACTCGCCACGCTCAGTGTTATCGGCCATGATTTCTCTGATAGATTCCGAATGCCCAAACGAGGTAGGGGAAGTTTCGGTGGTGATTAACTCTGGAAGTCCATCTTCCTTGAAAATCAAAACTTCTTCATCTGGTGCATCTTCGACGGTGGGTTTCGGTGGCCATTTGGCGTCTTTACCAAACCAAAAGTCACCGGTTTCCCAGTTGATCATCGGATTGAGGCGTTTAAGCCACGGCATGCCGAGAAGTATGTTTTCTTTGCCAATGCCGGTCAAGAGGAAGCGAGTAAGTGTCTTCCTTCCTCCGATTTTCATCATCTTCCAGGTACAATGAGTAATGGTACCCATTTGATTTGGTGTGCCATCTGCATTCATGACTGTAATCGGTTTCGGTAATTCCCATCTGATGAAATCGTTTTCTTCCGCAAAACGAATGTTCATGAACATTTCGGCTGCACCGGAATCGATCAAGGCTTCTGTTGTAACGTCTTCCTTCTCTCCCAACGAAATATTCACAGTGATTGAATTTCCGCTAGTGTTACAAATAACAAGGGGAGATACGGTAAGATGCGACGGTCCATGCATTACTAGTGGCCGTCGTCTCAAAAACCCAATTGGGTTCGTTCTTCATCAGTCATGTCGTTGAAGACGTTTCGCACATAGGCGATCTGTTCCTCTCTGGTTTCTTCCTTCGACGTCTCCTTCTTCAGTGCGAGGTCTTCTCGCATCTTCTTGATCCATGTGATCGTGTCTGTGTCTAACCCGGGCTGTATCGTTCTAGCACGGGTGAAACTTCCAGACTGGGGGTGGAATTGTCTGTCGTTGGCTATATGGCCCTTCTTTCCGCATAGGAAACATAATCCTTCTTTTATTCTCTTTTGTCGCTCGTCCGGGGATAAGCGCGAGATATTGACACGATCAACATCCATCGCATTTGGATCCTTTGCAGAAGCCGAGTAGTAGGGACGATGGACAGATCGGCCCTTTCCTCGCGTCGTCGTAGTGGCTCCTCGCTTGAAGATCTGAGCAGATCTCCATTGGTTATCAAACCGCGAGGCGTATTCGTACCACTTGTCAAGTGTCTTGGGCATGATTTCCATCCCATATATCCTTTGTCGGAGTGGGTCGTTAAGCCCCCACTTGAAATACTCGATATTTCCGGCATCTTCTAGTTTCGCCTTGGATTCAAGCGATCGGAATTCGGCAATGTAGTCGTCCGCAGTACGAGTTCCTTGCTTGATGTTACGCAGCAAGGTACGAGCGGTTTCTTCAATATTTTCATCGCCAAATGCTTTGTTCACACTCACAATGAAGTCTCTCCAACTCCCATAAGAAAGGAAGTCGTCATTGGTGAGTTCCGTTTCTATGAAGCTCTGTGCCCATGATCCTGCTGTTCCTCCTTGCATGTGCGATAGCACGAATGCGATCTTCTGATTGTCCTCCTGGTAGACATGGCTATTTCCGGCCATGTAGTTCTTGCATTGGTTTATAAATTCCCTAAGCTTCGAACGGTCTGAACCATTCAAGATCTCGGGTTTTCTAAAACCAAGTTCCTTCTGGCTAGCATGGTGACGTCCTTCATCCATGGTAACTGTAGCCATCGGTGGTATGTAATCGGGTACGATTGGTGCAAGAGTCGGTTGGGGTACAGGATTCTGGGCAGGGGGGTTCCAAGGGGCGTCTGGTCTTTCTCCTGGATAGGAGGTCATTATACCGCTGTCTGCGATGTGCTGGAGCACTATTCCACCAAGATTATGGGGAAGTGTCCTTTCAAATTCCTCTGGGGAGTAGTCGAAGTTGTGATTGTCTGGCCTGATGAATACAGGCCTTCCTCCTATGAAATGTGCGTTTTGTTCTGTGCTCCACTCCGCTTGGGATGGGAGTGCTCGCGGTACTGCTCTGGAAGAGCGGTCGGGTTGATGTAGTTAAAATCCAGCGTGGATAAATTCTTCTGTGTGGCCTATGTCTACACGTAGACTGCACACCGTCCTTAACTAAGTGGGTTCGTTCGTCGTCGGCTAACAAGCCCGTAGAGTGTCTTCTGTCTTCAAACTGATACACCTATTTGCTGATTGCTCGAGTGATTACCTCAGCCTCCTCGGCCTATTGGTCTCTCGGACAGACCCCTCTCCGAAGATGAGTGATCAGTCTATCCCTTCAGCTACCTCGATTACAGAGTAATCTCAAACGGTGCTTTAGCAATCGAATCGGGTGTATCGTTCAGTCTTCAAGGTTCGGTCCGGTCGGTAGTTCGTTGTTAGACTCTAGGAAGTCACAGAGAGTAATAAGATCTCGACCTAATGTTACGCGGCAGCGAAACACGAGCGTCTAGTCGAGTCGTCACGAGACAAGGTCTTAGTCTAAGACACAAGTCCGTTCAAGTGACACTTCTGGCGATGTCCTCGCACTGAAGGTCGATCAGAGTTCGTTCTTATGACTCGTAGTAGCTGTCCGCTACTGACGGTCGATCTCAGTCAAAGGCAAGTGGAAAGCTGGTTTAATGGTAACCAGGTCGAGATGGGGATCCAGCTCGACAAGGTCGTTTACTTATACAAAAGGTATCCGCAGTACTACGCAGTAATGCGAGATCGTTCATTGGCTAGATAAGGTGAAACGATATCTGGGCAAGGTAACAGCGAGGAAGTAATATGTATGAGAAAGCTGAGTAAGGTCGTAAGAGATAATCAGTACTAATGGGGATAACGAGTCGTGTATCAGAACGAGGTAAAGATGAGGCGTACATGCACGTCTTGCATGCGCGATAAGAAGAAGGTCCGGAGTTGGATCCGGTGTAACCCTAGACTAGGGGTTCTGGACATCTGGGTAAAGAATCGGAGGTTGCGCTCCAATGAGTCACGTGTTGGATCACGTGGTCTGGTAACGTAAAGGGAACAAGGAAAAGAAAAAGAAAAGACGCGCCACAAGTGGGGAGCGTTGTAACATCATGCATCCCCCCTTTGCCTTTGCCCTTCTCATTCTCCTTCCTTTTTGTGCTTACAGTCGGTTTTGGCCACGGGGTGCAGGAGAACTACACTGGCAGTGGGCATCCACATGGCCAAGTACGTGCTGAGCTATGGGGACCAGCTGAACGATATACAGCATGTGACAAAATGTGCGTGGTTTCATTCGTGGTGGGGCTTTTTTTTGCTGATTCTGCTATGCTTCTTTGTTGTAGATTTCAGAGATAAATTCTGCAGATATCACATATGTGCTCGCCTCTCCCCTCTTCACGGTGCGCATTGCTCATGCCTGCATCTGCCCAGAAATGGCTGTTGCCGCATACGTGCCTGTTCTATGTCCACGAGATGTCCATCATCATATGTCTCTTCCCATCTTTCCTCTATCAGTATCGTGCTCATCGCGATGTTTCATCTATGGGTCCCCTCCTATTTGATATTTTTACCAGAACTGGCAGCTCCTGACCAGCCTTTGTTTCTAGGACATGCGCTCAACAGACGTGATCATGATCCATGTGAGGTCGCGAATGATGTGAGCATTAAGCAGGACCGGTGTGTGACTGATGGAGTGCCCACGAATCTTCGAGTATGAGGCTTGAAAGGCAGGGCGCAACAAGGGCTCAATGTTGAGGCCCCAGTTGATCCAGCCAAGAAGACATTGCCATTCACGGAGAGGTTGACTATGGTGATGAGGTTGGGCAGAAGAGATGAAGTCACGAATGTGCGTGACAAGATCAAGGGAGGATTCATGCAGGAGAGAGATGGTCATGGCAATAGTATCAACATGGAAGCCAATGATGACGAGTGCTTGCCTGAAAAGCTGCTTTGCTTCCTCATGAGAAATCCTGAGCTCATCTCAAAGCAGAAGAAGAAGGACTTGCTTGAGGGGTAAGAATTTGTTGTAAGGGGGATAATAAGTGAGCTCATCAACAGAATCGAATGAGAAATGATCATCCATATAGACGAGAAGGGCTTGAATGTGTTTGATGAAGATGGCAATTCAAACGACAAGGCTGATGAATGAACACCAGATGTCCAGCGAGCTGCAGCTGCCGAAGCACATACACCGATCAATTCGCTGTTCACCCTCAATGGTGACAACTTGCTTTAATTGCCACAAAGAATGCATGAGGATCAATCAGTATGCACCTTTGATGTCGGATTTGAACAACCAGAGTGGAATGTTGCCACACTCCTCTCGCATGCTAAGTAGGTTGCGGCCTAAGTCCTGAACGTTATCTGGTCGCATATCAACATTGGACTTGTCGATCATGGAGTTGAGGGAGTAGAAACCAGCAGAATGGTTATTGATAAATCGTAACTTTGTTGAATGAGATTTCGGAACAGCATGCACTGGCATGGAGTACATGCCAGGCAGGAGATCTGTACTGAAAGGGTGTGAGTAGCGACCGGCAGCTTCTTCTTCTTGTGCATATTGCAAAACAAAGGTAGAAGCTTCATCCGACAAAGGTATATTCCCACCATCCCAGGTATCCGGGAATGCTAGACCTTCTGTCTCGGCAAAAGGCCAAAAACCTTCACACAAACCATGCAGGACCAAGTCCACCAGATGACGGTTTGGATGATCAACGAGAAGGGTCTCGAAGCAGTCTACATCGATCGGAGTGACAATCTGAAAGAGTTCTGGGTGTAGCTGAATGGTGCACTGCGTGATAGGATTGGTAAGCTCATTGTCCGGAGGACTGAGAATGGGTCTGAGTGTAGTTGAACGAGTAGCAAGGGGTGTGACATATTGCTCATGTTCATCCCAGAGAAAACTGCAAAACCGACAAGGGCGATTATTTTTATTTGTCAAAGATTGGTTTCTGGGAGCAGACACATGCGGCATGGTCTCGGCCACGGCATGTGGAGCAAATGTGTCGATACCTGCACCCTCTATGGTCACAGTTTCCAGCATTAAACTTCCTGCAGATCTCCGAGGATCTAGCCGAGGAAGAATTCTCAGACCCGGAGTTCTGGGAGACTCCTGCTGCTGAAGTAGAGGAGACACCGGCAACGATGTACATAGTGTAGAGGTGGTTAAAGCTGGCAAGATCAGTGAGCAAGAGCTTGGTACTCCTTCCAATGAGGCTCCTGATGGCATGGTCATAGTTGAGGACACATGAGGCATGGAGGTCAGGAAGGGCAATGAAGGATTTATTAATGTGCTCGGCATAATCTTACAACTCATCGGCTCGGTGTGGGAAAGCAAAGCACACAGCTTGCTGGTACCTGACTCAGGCATTGGTCCATTCACTGTGGTGAGAGATGTGTTTGCTCAGTTTGGAAGGTCCTTCTGACACAACCTCGAGATCTCCGAGTTTGAGAGACTGCTTGACATCTCCGTCGACTGAATCGAAGGCGGAGTAAATCTTGTCAAGATCGACATAGCAGTTGGAGAGGACATCATTTCAGATGGATTCCGGAACATTGGGGCAATCAGGGTGGCAGGTGATGGATTGTTTAGAGAAGGAGAGATCTCGGGTGTAGTTCTCCTTGAGCTTGAGCATGCGTAGCAACTCGGGGGAGAGGAGAGCTGATACGGTAGATGACATAAAGGGGAAGAGAGATTCATCAACTCTTCGCTTGCCATCTTTGTCTCCCCCATCATCTGCATCTCGTCGGCACTTGCTGCTTCTGACAGGAGTGGAGGAGGGCTCGAGAGCCTCTTCAGGAGCGGGGGCTCCGGAGTCGGCATTTTCAACTGCGGAAGTGTCGGGTACCGGAGTCCTTCCTCTGTTCCCAGCTTCCCGCAAGGCCCATTCAATCTCATCAAGCTCAGCGAGATATATTGTAAATGCCGCGTGCTTAGAAGAGATCTCTTCATCAGAGGTGGCCTCTTGATATCTAAGAGTCTCAAAGAGCTGTATAAATGCTTCAGCTTTCGAGGGCTTGGCTTTGCAGAACTCTTCGATGATGCCCTCCCAAACGGAGACGGTCTCCAGTTCGAAATGTTGCTCGAAGTTAGCTCGGGAGGAGCTAGATGACTGTGTGTGGGCGGAGATGGATTTGGAGATTCGGGCATATACAGGTGATTCGATAGATGTGAGTGATAACGAAGAAATGAAGCTCGAAAAAGTCCTGTAAGGATGGAGATGTCAGTTCGTGAAGAGGTGTGCTGCACAACAAGACAGACCTGTCAGGACAGAGATGCAAGAGGTGAAGAGGTGAGGTGCTACCCCTGTCTCCCATCCGTACCCGAGGCGGGGGGGTTCTGACCCGAGGAACACCTTCGGCTGCAACTGCAGCAGTGTTCTCGAGACCCCCACCAGTCTGTGGAGTTCATCCGCTGGACTCATCTCACGCTGCGAGGGAGAGCGTGGCACTGCAATGCCGAGAGTTCCAGATGCTGTCCGGGATGCAATCAAGTCAAAAGCATGACAGAGTGCCAATTAGACTTGTTAAAAGCTCACTCTAAACTCGATATAGGCCTTAAATAAGGCAAAAAAGGACAAAAAGTTGGAATAAGACCTATAAGTAAAAGTTGAGTTTTCCTGATGAGTACATGCATACACTTTCTTGTAGATCAGCAAGCACACAGATACATACTCCTACCATAAGATTGCATGTATTTACAACTCAATCGCTGGAGCAAAACATGAAATCGCAGTGGATCAGTATAAAATGTCATTGTCAGTGCTGTCCTCACTCCACCGGCCATGTCACATCATGTTGATGAATTTCCTGATACAGATGAGATTATGGGCGCTAATTTCCATATCAGGATCTGTGTGATGTGACATCTCGCCGATAAGAGCTCTGAAATGCTCACTCCCCAGTCCCCTTCTCATCCTGGATGGCAGCGGATGGCTTCGGAAACATTGCCAAAACATTCCAGTGTGCATAAATATGCAATTTCGGACTTCTGCTATGAACTAAACAATGTACAAGCATTTTTTTGCAAATTACATTCAAAATTGGTGTTTCCAAACAGATCCAGAGGCCATATAATTTCTACAAGCTTGGAGAAGATAGTTCTAGTATATTCAGTTTTAAAAAGTTGAAATTGAAAAGGTGGCCAGGAAGCCAGAAAATGTGGGGTGGCCTAAGGATCCATGGTGGCCGAAGGACCGGTATAAGACTGTAGTACCTGAAATTTCACCCTTGCCGCGTCCAGACATGCTGTGCTAAGATATTGTAAGAGAGGAGAGTTGAGGTTGATGTGGACTTTGGACTGCCTCTGGGGGTGGATGTGTTGGTGTTGGTTGCAAACCAAGTCGCGCCGGACGCGGTTAAGGCTTGTTGTACACCGCGTTGACATACGCAGAGCATATCTTGCACCGCACAGCTGGAAAATGAAGCTTTTCGGCCAACTCGGAAGTTCAAGAATAATTGTATACCAGCAGCCAAACACGGTCACGCACCAGCGTTATGTTTGCGGCTAGCTCGCTTCCCATGTCCACACTTGTAAGAAATAAACTCAATTGTAGACAAAACTCGAGATATTGTAAGAGCGCAACACATCAAAGGGCAGAACAAATTGAATGAAAAGGTGAGGTAACATTTGAGAGTCCGAAAACATGATACGACTGATGAGTGAGAATGCACGAATCAATCGGTACTCGTGTTATCACTTGCATTGTTGGGAAGGAGAGTTGAGCTACGAAGACACGTTAGTGGCTCTCGCGAAGGCCAGAAGTGTAAGAAGAAGACGTACGGACCAGCAGGGCCCGAAGCTGGCCCCCTGGGCCATCCTTCGGGAGCCCATCCCCAGACCGTTCTATCCAAGTACCATTTCGGCGGCTCACTCTCTCCCAGCCGCACGCGCAGGGCTTCTATCTGCTCTGGAGAGGGCGCTTTCTCCAGCGCGTGGTTAGTATACAGAGACACGACGAATCGCTCGTCAGAAGTGAACGTGTCCATGATCATCAGCGCCCCGCGCGGCCAGCTCGGGTCCAAGGTGCGGACAATATCGGTCAGCGCGAGCTGCATCATCGCAATTTTCTGCAAATTGCTCAGGTTCTGGGGGCGATCGTCATATCTGTCGTCGTCATCCTCGTGCCGCACGTCTTCAACGCGTTGCCCGGTGGCAATCCGGAGGAAGATCTCGAGCATGGAGACCGTGCCGGGTAACGTCAGTCCTACGCGAGTATGGCGTGCGTGCTTCAGTAAAGCTTCTTCATTGGCATACCATCCGTAGTGCATGATCGGAGGCCGCAGGACTGCCTTCGGGTTCGGTACCAGGACACGAGGTAAGGAGCTCATGGGTGGTAGATCCTTCATGCTCAACCATTGCTGTCGTAGAGTAGTAAGCACTGGCAGTGTAAAGAATTCGCAGCACAAAGAGCGTACCTCTCTCGTGCAAGGTTCAGCAATCGATATGGAGGGAATGACTACGTCGTCCCGCCGCGTACCCGGACGGTCGATCGAAGGAGGATAGCGGGCTTGAACGGTAGGCGCAGCCATGATGTATGTAGAAAGAAAGATGTCCACGTGTCGTTTATAGTCCTCTGGCGCTCTTTTATACTTCGACGGCCACCTCGTAACAAGGGACGCGGCTAGTGTTGCGTAAGAAACTCAAGGCAGGTTATTAACGTTAGGTTTATAACATGTTAGGTCCCAGAGGTATTTGACACCATGTTTTTAACGTTTAAAACATGTGGTCACATGACCTATTTCCGCGTGCTATAAACTGTAGATTTCTCCATTTTTGCGTCTGTTCTGGAGGCTGCAGAAGAGATCGGAGGGCCCGTACGTATGATATTCCTACTCTACTACTCGATGACCCCGTATCCTACCAGTGGAACTGTCAGCCTACATCTGAAGACCTGTTACCTGTTCTCTTACGCCCTGCTCGACCAAAAGGACATGAAATCTGAAGGAGAACTGTTAGTAGCTGTCAAGTTGTAGTCTACTAGAGCATCTGACCTCAATGAGGCCTTGTGAGCAACCCCCGCACGCCGTGGCCGAGTACGCTATGGGGAAATCCGACGCGACGTGACCATTGGCGCCGGACTTATTGACATAGGCATTTTGGCCTTATGTTTTTAACATGTTTTTAACGTGTTAAAAACACGTTTAAAACATACATGTTTTAAACATGACAGTTTTACACGCAACACTAGACGCGGCCAAACAATGGTGTTGACCCTCATGATCACGTGACCGCGATTCGTTGTTGTTGGCCATGCCATACACAAAGCAAACTATGTACATGGCCAGAACTCGAGGCATCAGACTGAATGCTGACCTCAAAAAGCGAGGTGTTGAAGTACGCGGATCAACTCGATCAGCCATTATGAACGTCCGCAGCCAGCTACACGGTAAGCTGCATGTAGAGCACGCAAAACCTCGACAATGGAAGAGCTCAGGAAGGATAGATCTAGAACTATCCACGGAAGACATCTGTAGACGCTTTATGATGGACGTCACAGGAAGCGCGAGTCCAAACCAAGTGATGTTTTTCCATCTGGCGCCAAACTTACTCACGTTCACACTCATGCTGAGGATGTTGCGGAAGCCTCTTGCGAGGATTTGCTAGGCACCAAACATAGTAACGTGCGGGCTTGTTTCTTCTCCATTTTATGAGTAGAACTGACCCATAATCAGACACACTAGACGGAAATAAGAGATACAGTAAGCAGAGTATGACTTACACTCACGATCCAATGGAAGTCCACTGATTCGAGTCGGAGCCGAATCTTCTGTAGTTAGCTACTTCTGCGCTGTGCAAAGATCTTCGAAAGTCTGGCCCCAACCATCATTTCAACCGTAGGGTAGCGGGGGAGACTTACAAAGAAGGCTTCAGCAAACGTTGAAACTCACTTTTGCCGGGTATGATTTTAAAAAAAGGACTAACATCGGAAGAACGAAACTGAAACGACCTTGAAATTTTGAAACGTAAAGGAAAACAGGACTCCCGACAACGTACTGGCCAGTCATGCCCGATCGCCGCCGCCGTCCTGGGCGCGACGTTCTCCGCGTCAAGTCTGCCAGCCTTGGAATTCCAGAATTCTGCGTCGTTCAATGCGAGCGCTTGTGATGGAGGATTTGCATCTCCGAAGAATAGCGCGCTTACAACGGTTGTTACTGACGTTGTAGTAAAGTTTCTGCAGTGGTTCGAGGGCGCGGCGCTTATCCAACCTCTTCCTGCGGTGATAACAGCCTATAGTATGTACAGTGTCATCCGTTCAAACCTGCACTGACTATGCTGTCAGACATGTTTTCGATCGATAGCCGATGGCATACTTATACTTGACGGCATTTCACGTGAATTGACGTCCCGGAGCTCTTGCCTGACAGCTTAAGCTTCACTTGCGTGGACTATACTTCCATTCTATGTCGATGTTCCCTTTTTTTTTGGCACCGATAGCACTTCTAAATTCGCCGCTGACGCGCTGACGTTCCCCGGACATTATAAAACTCAGATGCGAATGTGAACGTCTTCACTAGGCCCTCGCCCTCCTCACCTGCGTCGCGTCCCCGTACCCGCTCGTCGTCATGCAGCTCTCATTCATGCTCTCGGTCGTCGCCGGCTTTGCAGCTGTTGCGTCAGGCTTTCCCATGGCGGTCCCCGTGAGTATCGAGTATCTCTCGGCGTAAATCACCATTGGGCTGACTGCACTCTTCTGTTCCAGCAGAGCCTAGTCACCCGGTCTAGCAAGACAGGCTGCACTCTAAGCCCAGCAGATTACTGCCAAGGCACGAACAATACCAACCCACAGTACCTCTGCGGCGACTACCGCCTGGGACCCGTCGTGCTCCCTACCGCCATCCCGCTCGGCAACCTCATGAGCGAATATGACCGTCTTGGCGGGCTCTGCCCAGGCGAGTTCTTGAAGACGTGGACGAACGCGAGCACGGGCGCGTACAACTACCCTCCGCTTGCCGGCTTCCAGCCCGACACGGCCAGCGCACCGATCGAGGGAAACCAGACGTTGTCCGTGGGCACGCGTGTCGACCGATTTGGTTCTGCATACGGCAGCTACGTCTCCCCCGCGTACGCGCCGTACATCCAGCGCGCGCTCCCGCCGTCGAACCTGGACACGCCCGCGGGCGAGCCGACGTACCCGTATAACTACCATGTCTACGAGGTGCTCAAGCCTTTCGTCGTACTTTCTGGGCCGATCGCGCCGTGGTTTGGGCAGCCTGGCCAGGGGACGCAATATGGAACGCCAATGAGTGTGGGGGCGCTGCTCAACGCGTCGTATTTGAGGGAGTTGACGCGGGAGGAGTACTAGGAGCGAAGGGGACTAGGAGGGAATTCGATGGAGTCCTGCAGAGAACTTCTTCCCTTCGTGTAGATCATGAGCTTGGTGCACTTCTCTCACTCGATGTCTGCATTTCAAGTGACCCGCACGCAGTGCAGCTTTTGGGGTTTATACCAATTAGTGCACGGTCATTCATGATGTGCACAAGGCGTCATAGCCAGCAAGAAATCGGTCCGTAGATTGAGTAAGTAGTACAATTTAATTTGAGGTTCGACTGCGAGTCTAGGAGTCCATAGTACAACGAGATAGTGGGTATACAATGTGAAGGATCTCAGCTTCGGAGGAATAGCCACATGCAGTATTAGGTTCGAAAGGGGGGGAACGGGGGAACGGGGGGTAGTATCCGGGTATTATGAGCAAGATACGGAGAGTACATAATAAATTGGCAGAAGATAGCGCGTAGAAAAGCACCCCAAAGCGGGTATGATCCAAAGCAAGTAAGAGGGCACACATTTGAATAAACTGCGAGGCCGCGCTCACGGAGAGAGCATCTCAGCGAGGCGGATCGCGCAGCGCATATTTTGCCGCGTCGCGTCTATGCGCCAGGGTGCATACGCATGGTAGCCCATGGCGCCGCAGCTGCGCACGAGCCAGGTCTCCAGGACGTGGCGCGTCCACACCGTTCCTCGCTGAGACCGGCCGAGGCGAAGGATGTTCGCAATGTCCTCGGGGTCGTGCTTCTGGAAGCGCACGAGCTTGAGCGCGACGGCCCACGGCCAGCTGACAGCCACGAGCACCAGTCCCGGCGAGGAGAAGATGGTGTTGAGCCGGCGGTTCATGGGCGTCATCGCGTCTGCCCAGACGGGGTCGTACAGCTTCCCATTCACGCTGGAGAAGACGCGACACTCAGCTTGCGCCGCATGTCGGGGAGAGCAGGGAACGCGGCGGAACGGACAACGAGCCACTCACTCTCTCGCCAAGGGGAGCGCCACGTCGGCGTGCGCGTTCATCCAGTCCGCACCGAGACCGAACTTGAACGCGGTCTTCCAGATGCACGCCTGGAGCTGAGTGCCGGCGTCTGCGACTCCGCGCATCTGCCACTCCGCTACGAACGAGCGGTGGTTGTAGTCGACGTCTGGCGTGTGCTTCCTGCTCCGGAGGTTAGGGTGGAGCACCATGACGGCGCCGCCATGCACAATGAGGCGCACGCGCTTCCCAAAGTGTCGCAGAAGCCGCGCAGAGAGGTCTTGCAGCGCAAGATAGAGGATCGTCTGGTCGAGCGGTATGTCATTATGCTCCTTCAGTGCACTCCATGGGTGACTGAGGCCGGGCATCCTTTGTCTGGGGGACGGTGGTGGTACATGAAGTGGGGCCTGCGCCGCGGGGTGCTAAGCGGTGGTTAGGAGGGTATACATATAGCGCAAACAATCTTTTGTTGGCGTCCTTTTGTTGATCTCATCGTTCTTCCATTAGTCGAATTGTCGGGCCGAGCGCGCAGCGTGGGCACGTGCAACGTGCATGGTGTGGCGCAACCAGGCACCCACCGCCCCAAACACAAGTACATTCCGAGAATGACAGCATCGAAGACGTATGGAGAAGTTCTGTTCTGCTGTAGCGTTATCTGTCAACATCGAGTGGCACTCCGAGCTAGTGCCCGACTCGGAACACGGGCTTGCAAACTTCTTGCTATACGAAGCATACCATTCGTGTAGTCGGTTCTGTCCCGCAGCCGCCCTCCGAGTAAGTAGGGACAGACCGACAGTCGGTCGAGCACCGCTTTCAGAAGACAAATGAACAAGAGTTCGCGGGAGTATTTGAAGGCTCAGCGAACACTGGGTCACTGTTGCCCTTCTGTAACAGCGCCAAGCGCGTATAGGAAACCACCCACGGAGTTGCGCTCTCGGTTTCTGTGTAAGTTAAGGGGCTGCAGGAAGCAGATGCCAGAACTCGCAACTCAAGTATTTGGTTTAGAGAAGCTGACGAACAGGATACGAAGCATGGACCACACGTACACAGCAAGATATCACGCGCACGGCGCAAACGGACGGTGCGTGAGACATCCGATAGCAGTGACGTGCATGCCAGAGACGCCGCGGCAATGACTAGGACCCGACAGTCACATTAAAAAACCGGTCAAGATGAGAGAAGAAGTCCTGAAATTTTGGCAGCCTGAGAGGGGCCATTCGGTGAGATTACACCGCGTGGACCGACGCCCATATACATGCTGTGTTTCAATCGCACATCTACATGGTTCAGTGTTCCTGGTCCGTACGCCCACGGATCCGCGCGGGAGAACCACAAAGAGAGGCGAGCCATAGATCGCGTCGACCGCGGAGCAACACAGTGAGAAGGGTTTCTGGGATGGGTTGTAGCGATCTGTCGCACTGCCTGGGCAGTGAAAAAAAAAATCATGTACTGCGGCTGTGGCAATGTTAGTAGTATTCGAAACGCACAGCCCAGGTGCCAAGTCCTGCGATACTAATGAAACAAAGTTTCGAACCACGCGACGACGGAAGAAAGAACCTTTGATAACCCACGTCTACAGTGAGGGTTCACGGACATGAGACAACGGAACTAGAGAAGCCAGCTGAGTACTAGTGAAACCTATGCAGACGTTAGAATCGGAGTTGATCAGAACGGAAAATAAAGACTTCGTAGAAAACTCATAAAGTGCCAAGGAAGGACTGCCAACGTAGAAAACGTCGGGTCGTCGAAAGGAGTATAAGACGGTAAGAAGTCCGCCGACTAAATTCTCCCTCCAGGTTTGGACCGTACAGCTCTTATATCCACGCGCTCTTAAGGAATTGCCCAGAAGTAAAAATTGCATCTGTGAAATGGAGGCTTTGCGATGGGTGGGTGAAACTCCCCATATAACTGAAGCTCGAAGGAAACAATCACAGCACATCGACAGCTGGTACCTGGACGTTGGGTTGTAGAAAATTGCTTGCAGACATGAAAGGAAGAATAAGCCACGCAGCCTAGCGGAGAACGGAAGAAGGTCCCCAGTACTGAAGGCCAACTTCTACTGTAAGCTGAAAACACCGGATCGTCGAACTGTCATCTTCTACAAAATGTGAGACTGAAGTCACCGAACTGTACAGCGCATTCTTATAAGACCATTTAGCTGGTCTGCGCGCTCGCGCTGGCATCATCAACCACTTCGTGGGGATGTCGTTTACGCCATTCGTGGAGGCCACGTTCGAACGTGCGATCGTCCAGGCCGTCAGGTGCAAGGCAGAAGGTAACGCCTGCGACAATCGGAATATGCGCTAAATATATCAGACTCGCAAGTATGAGACGTACCTAGGGATTCCACCTCTTTATTCCGGTGCTCATCGTCAAAGAACAACTGCAAGTAAGATGTCAGTGACAAGCTGGTAAATGTTCCCGGAGGAATGAAATACCATTTCTGTAAACGGTAGGCCTGTCTTCTTATGGAGGGCCTTGAAGTGGGCAATCTTCGATCCTGGGGAACAACGGTGACATTAGCGTCGGGGATCAATGATCGTGAGTTATGCTTTCATACCCGGATATATCTCTAACTGATCAAAGAACTCGATCGCACGCTTTGGATATGTATCTTTCTCCCCGGCATTTGGATGGATCAGGAGCAGGTCGAGCGCATTGCGAGCACTGCATTAACACGCTCAGAAAGGTTTCTTCGACACGCTGTAGAACCCTCACAGACGAGGAGCCGCCGTGCGAGAACACGCTGCAATAATCACTCCAGACGCGCGAAGACGATGCAAGATCTCAGGAATGTCGCGATAGAGCGCGATCTCAGTGTTGTGTCTGCGGGAGATCGTGAGATCTTAGAGCCTTGTGATGAGAGCTTGCTACCGACCTATCGCGTATGGAGTTCAACGTGTTTCCTTCACGGTGCAGAGGTGCTGTAATACCCAACGGTATACTCAAGACGACGCCTGATGATGCAGACCGTACTTACGGGTAACATGGGTGTCGATCCATAAGTCCCATAGTGTGTAACTACGCTAATCGGGTATCCGCGAACATCAAGCATTGTAAGTAACACGGAATCTAAGTGGAAGATGCATACGCACTCCAAGTCAAGGGCCACCAGTTTCGGGAGTCGGCTCGTCATCACCGAAGGAAGTGAGAGGCGGAACGGCTCGAAGCGCTCTGCAACGAGTCCGTGAAATGCCACTGGTCTGGCCCACACAAAACTATTCAGCTACAACAGCGTTGAAATAACCCAGGAGATACCAGGAGATAAACTAGGAATGCTAGGGTTCGAGTATATAGAAAGAGACTTGATGCTAGATACTGGTACGGATATCCTGAAGTACGAAGGTTCCTGCCAATGCCCGAACCAAACACAGTATGTATTTCTAAATTGTCGGTGACATCATTGGTGTGCGTAAACACCAGCATATACTGATGACTGCTACGCACAGTATTTTCTACTGTTGAATTCTACCAGAGGCAAATCATATGCTCATGCGTTCCCCATAGTGGATGGCGCATCAAAGCCGTCCCACGCTTCAAACCACGACCGCCAGTCATCATGTGCACTTTCTGTACACACCGGGGGCAGATCCATGTACGGGAATTCTTCATGATTCGTAAACTCCACCAACTGGAACTCTTTTGCCAAACATGAGCGTTCGATCTGCGGGCCATCATACGTTCTGTGGTAGCCAATGATGAGGTGCGCAACATTGACCTCCTTCTGGCGCACTATCAACCCTATGAGGACGGCGATATTGACGTCAGAATCCTGCATGATGATGTGCACCGTCATGCCGCTGCGAGACAGCGGTGCCTGAGAAGGGTCGCTTGGTTCCAAGAGAATGCCCACCACGTCCTCAACGCTCTCTGCCAACACCACCAGCTTCTCTAGCCTTGGCATCCATGGCAGAAGTGAAGTGAAAGTAGCGTAATTGAGAGCGATCCTTTCAATGACCCAAGACTCCCAAATCTGAACCAACGGTAGCCTCCGAATCATCAACATGAACAGATCATCGTGGTCAGGCCTATCGCTATAGACATAGATTCCTGAAAGCGGCCCTGTAGCCACGAGTGTGTACCCAAAATTCTCTCGTAAAACGGAGATCTTCGTGATGGCCTGGATCACAGGGAGGTGCGGGAGCTGACAGCAAGATTCACCCATCCGCAGCGCCGTAGTATCTGCAACAGAGAGACATGATAGTATGTTTCCCAAGCCTGAGTTGTACTCGTGGTCGCCGCCCAATCTGATCATGGCTAGTTTCGGAAGCCGAATCGCGCGCGGTTCAGGCGGGCTATGTTCGGGGCATCTGATGTCGGTCAATATTAAATCGATGAGGTTGGGTGTTCTCTCAAGAACGGACAGGATCTCCAAATAAAATCCTGAGCAGATAATATTCCCAATCTGGAGCTGCGTGAGGGATGGCATATTGTTTGCGGGCAACCAGTAGGTGTTGGAGAGGACCAGCTGCGTAATGCGAGGCGTACGCCCACCAAAAAGCAGGATGGATCTCAAAGGCTTGTGTGTATAGAAATATTGGTGAGACATGACTACGACGGATTCGACACCGGGAGCGGCTAAAGGTGCGAGAAGTTCTTCTGCGGGAGCGTCGAATCTCGCTTCCAACCAGACAGAGCGGATACGCTTGCTATCTCCAGAAGACAAGAGATTCTTCAAGTACCCTTGAGGGGAGTCCTTTAAATAGATGTCCAAAGGAGCCGTTTGAGACCGCCGTACCATAACATCCACGGGTACCGAAACAGAATAGGAATCGATAACATTGGACCAAAGGGTAGGTAGACTTAGCGTAAGTTCACGCCAAAGATGGCACACATGCGACAGTCTGACGCATGATCCAGGTTTCACATAGCAAGGCGACCATACAGGATAAGCCCACTGGAACTCCAAATCTCCATGTTCCTTCTGTTCCCAAATCCAAGGAGAGTCTGGAACGAGATGGAAGATGATACTGAGAACATCAGGTGGAAGCCTGTTGAAGAGAACATCGGGAGAAAGCTTGTCGACGAGAGACATCGAGCTGCGCAGAATTTCCGCAGCAGATTCGACAACCGTGATCAATTCCGTTATCTGCAGAGGCTCTCCTATTGGGTTTCGCAGTCTTGCAATGGTTTATTAATTACTCACAAGGCTTAAGCTAATAATTCAACATGATGGGAGCCGTTTCCGAAGACCAGAAGGAAACAAACCTCAAAAACCTAGCTTCATTCTGGGCCTTTGCAAGGAATGCCTCTGCCAATTGCGTGAGGGACATATTCTCAAGGACATGATCTGCGGGATCCATGTTGACTGCAAACATCGAAAGTAAGTAGCGCCGTCAGTAGTAATCAATATAGCTTGAGACGCTCAAACACTGACTGGGAGGCTTCTACAAGTACGTCCAGTTTTGTTCTCGGGACTTCCAAGGGTCATCCAGAGACAGATTCTGAGCGGATTCCAACCTTCGTGGTTGGGACGTTGTGATCTTCAAGTTGTGGACGGTCACGGTAATGGCAAGAGGCAACTTCCGTCACGTGTGCTTGTGAACTTGTCGAAATTCCGCACCACGTTATGGCGAACAACAAGGCGTTGATGACGCTCAAAGCAAGGCAATTACATGCTCGTACTAGATACAGACGTGGCCTTAACACAGGCGGTTGTCTTCATTGGCTCCAAGCATAGTACAAGGACGTCCTGAGGTTGTATGACTCGCTCTCTTACGATCGCCAGCCCAACTGGCATTGGTACGCGTTGTACTTTCTCCAGTAATCGTCTCTCATAATTTTGGCATGCGAAATTGTTCAGAACATCGAGTCAGATAGAGCATGTCCATGTGAAAAATCTGAAGTCCTAGGGAGGATAGCAAGGGATCCAGAGCCGTCATCAAATGTTTCATCGCGACAACCCCCTCAGAAGCGCTGATGCATTGGCAGTGTCGGACTTGGCTCGTTCCTGATGCATGATGCTCGAGCGCTGATTCCGCTGTGTACACAAACTCCCCTCCCTCCTCCCACCACCGCGCGACTCGAGCTCGCCGCGGTCGGCGCTCCCGTGAGGTAGCCCACCATGTCCTCCACCACGATCGACGTCGACTCTGCGGACACGAATCAGATCAACTACAAACCTACCGCTGACTATCCATGGTACTTCACGCACTCGGATAACCAGCAGGTGTACGACTCCACGCTCAGCGAGACGCATGGGCCCTCGAGTGCTGTCTTCGACTTCACAGGTGAGTAGTTCCCGTTGTGCGGCCTGTTCAACGCATAATTAAGGGCGAAATTTCCATGGCACTCGCAGGCACAGCCGTGACTGTGTACGGTACGCTCCCGTCTCCGCAAAATGGGAGCGCGATGCCCGTCTCGAGCTACGCGCTCGACGGTGCGACACCGATCTCGTTCGTCCCGTCCGTAGTGACGACTGAGGTCGACGGCGTGAGCTTCTTCTCCATATCATCCCTCGCGAACACGCACCACGAGCTCGTCATCAGTGTCACGTCCGCGAGCGCCGCTGCGCCGTACCTGCTCGACTACATCGCGTATGTGTCCGTTGCGAGCTCGAGTGCGCCCTCGCCGCCCTCCACCCCACCGGTGCAGCCGACAACGCAGCCATCCGCCTCGCCCACGCCCACACCAACGCCCACACCAACACCAACACCGTCGCCCACACCCACCCCGTCGTCGCAGACTAGCTCCCAGGCGTCACCATCATCGTCGTCTTCGTCACCATATTCATCCCAAAGTTCTTCCGTGTCGGGTTCCTCGCTGTCCGCGTCAACGTCACTCTCGGCGCTGTCTTCGGTATACCAGACGCTAACGAATACAGACGTAACGCACCTAAGCTCGACAGCGCTCTCTGCGACATCCAGCGGTTCGTCGTCGTCGTCCTCTGCCAGCCAAACTGCGCTGGGAGCGGCAGCGCACACGAGCTCGACTTCGAAGCCGGTGGGCGCCATCGTGGGCGGAGTCGTTGGTGGTGTGGCGGGGCTTGCCCTACTGCTCGCTGCACTATATTACTTCTTTTTCAGACGCAACCGGGAAATGGTCACTCCTTACGTACACCCAGAAAGCACCCTGGAAGGTATGTCTCGCTGCTCTCCCGAAGTATCTTCAGCGCCATCTGATGCCTCCGCAGGTCGGCAACCGCAGCTCCCTCCAGCACCCACCTATAATCCCTACTCCCACCCATCCTACGCAGCACCGGGGTCCGCCGCACAGATGGCAGAGCCCGCACTAGCCTCCGGCGCGCTCCTCGCCTGGCAGAGCTCACCCTCCGTGCACGCAGCGGCGGCGTCACCCGACCCCTCAGCAGGCGGTGGCATCGCGTACTACCCTTCCTCGAGCGAGCACCGCTCCTCGACAAGCGCGTTCGCGCCTTCCGCCGCAAGCGCGAGCGCGCCGCTGTTGACGCCCACTCCTCCTTCGTCCATCGGGGGCTCGTCCTCCGAGCGGGCCAGACGGGCGCGGGGATTGGGCGCAGGCGCGGGCTCGCTGGGCACTAAGGAGCCGTCCTCATCGTTCATGCACGTCCGCAATGACGCGCCTGCGCCGGCACCAGCGGGGCAGGCCCAGACGCCGTACGAGGACTCGGGCCTGCGCTTCGCGCCGCGCGTGCCCCCGTCTGAGGTTGGGACGGTTGATCCTCCACCGCCGCTGTATACACCGGACTAACGGTACGGAGGGGAAAGGGAAAAGGGGGGAAGTTCACGGTCGCTTTACCTTATTTAATGGTGGACATATTCAACCTACATAGCGTCGGGTCTGAGGCACCGTCGGTGTATTGTAAAACACATTTGGGTATCCACCGGCTTCCGGTGGCTTTTAGACACTCTTTGCAACTTGCAAGCACACATTCGTTCATTGCTCTCGCTTCATATTTGTCTGCTTCATCTACATTTGCATACGCGTACTCCCACAACTTGATGTAACTCGTTCCGGCTGGCTTTCAGATAATTCATGTTTTGACAACTTCTCATCTCTCGCGGTCAGTACAATCTGTGAGTGGGCGTCGGAAAACAACAGCGGACTGCGGGGGCGACAGTGGTTGACGACCATCATATGCATAGATTTTAGCTGCCACGGCTGCGGCGCGTCCACTTGAGAAGTTGAGCCAGAGGTCAAATTCAAATTTTCCGGTCCCGCGCTGCGCAGTCCAAATACTTCTCGAGAAGGCGAGGGACGAGACCGCCGCTGCGCTGAGTAGATACGGCCGCCCGGACTTATCGACAGGAAGTCTGAGCTTCTCGAAAGGCACAACACGCAGCCGGGAGGACCGCGGAGGTTTCGCTTAGGCACATGCGGTGGTTAGAAGCTGGAGATGGGGCACATGGAGAAGGAGTGCAGGCGGAATAAGCAAGTTGCACAGGAATTACTGCGGTTCCGAGTTGGAGCGGGCGGAAAGCATCCTTTCATGCGGACAATCTCGTGAATCGTCCGCAGGGACAGCCTCTGTGAGTGCCATGGAATTTGTCTTACGGCTCAGCAGCAGGACGAATGAGGCTGGGCAAGACACCTGGAATTAACATTCAACACGAATAATTCTCGCAAGATGGTTTAAGACGCACCTTGGAGGCTGCGGAGGGCAGGCGCAGAAGGATTAACGTACAGCCGAGGGTACCACGAGAGCGGCGTATTCTGTGAAATATACTGGTGCAAAAAATGTGAAGCGGGGTCCGATAATATTTTCGTGCGGACGGAGTACTGTCCATGACCCTGAGAGAGACCGGTCATTGACAAACGAGAGGGGACGTGACTTCCACATCGACGCGTCCCTCCGTTGCGGTTCAGCTAACATAAAAATCCCGGGATGACGTGGACAGACTTGGCGGTCTTTGGTCCTGCGAGCGGAATAAAATGTACAATTAGTTTCAACTTACCATCCTGTCCTTCGCTCGAAAGTCTATAATTTTGGGGGGAAGCTTGAAGCCTGTCGTCCATCGTATTTCAGTGCAACTCTGCAATTTCTCCATACCAGCAGCTTTGCGCGCAGACATCGGACAAGGACACTCAGACACTGATGTTCACTCAATGGTATTATCAGAGACAGAGGCAACAGCAGGCCTCGCTGGGGGGAAATTCTGCAATGGTTCACTGCCCGACACCAGATCAATGGCACCGCCAAGCCTAACCAAGACCGAATGCGTGCGTACGTCCGGATGTCCCACACGTCCTCGCTGCTCTTCCCCAGCCTCCGCGCCGCCCACCACTCTGCGCGACGGCGGATCCACATGTCGCGCTTCCGCTCCGGGTGAAGGCCTTTGATGCTCATACAGAACTTGAAATCCTCGAGCTTAGGGCTGCAGCCGGACATCTGGCCATAGCGATACAGCGACTTGACCTGCGACCCTACGACTGCCGCCGCGTTCACAGGCACAGACATGGAGAAGTCAGGAAACAATCCGCCACCAGAACTGGTCAGACAAAGATCCCCTCCCAAGCGATGGGGTGCTTACTGTTGCAAGACAGAAAGTCGTCGAAAAGCTTCATGCAGCCCGGTATGTCATCCGCGGTGGGATGCACTCTGCGAAGGTACTCCTCTTCCTGCTTTACGGCGGTCTCGAAGTCGACGGTGGACATGGTCGTCGGGCGAAGAGAGAACGGCGCTGTCGTTCTCGCTCTCCTCACCGTAGCCCACGTTGGCCGGACAAACCCGAGATGGCTGCCAGAAAAGGGAATATGACGGCATCAAATCTGGAGGTATTTCCCATTCTTCGAGTTCCCTGTGTCATCAAACCGATTAATCCCAAAGCAGGCATCCAAATCGGTGTTGTTGCAACCTCGGGATAGCGCACACCGCTCGCATCCGGGGGGTATGGGAATGGTATTCTCAGAAAAAGATATCTGGCGTCCAGATCTAGAATCACTACGGAACGGCTGCGAGATGCAGCCAAAAATACACGGAAAGATCGACCTTTCGGGCCCATCTCGGCGCGAATCTGACGGTGCGTGCCCGGTCACAGGGCTGCGCAGCAGCTCCACAGCTCACGGCGTAAAACATTATATTCAAAGCCTCGTCTGCATCTCGCTATTCTCTGCGACATGCGCGGCTGCACTCGCCGGCGAGTGCTTTGACATTCAGTCTGCTGGCGCCGCTGATACATCTCACACACATCAGTCTCTAGGTGGAGCAATTGCTATGCGGTCGTGACACGAGCGGCAGCAAGCACTCGGCACCGTCGAACACCCCTAATACCTGCGGGATCGCCTGAACTCCCCATTGCGATCTGAATCCGCCATACTGTACCGGCGGAAATTTACCAAACATTGGACCAACACGCGTCGGCCATGCCTGCGAGCATGCGTCGGTTCGCCCCGAACAGGACGACCCGCTACGTCCTGCTCGTGGCATTTCTCATCGTGAGTCCTCTGTACTTTCAGTTCGGTATTCGGTTGACTGTAGATTGTCGGTAGACCACATTTTACCTATCTTTCAGCCTAACACAGAAGATCTACAGCCGCGAGAGCTCAACACTCGCTTCCAAAACCGATGCAGCGGTGGTCATGTCGCCTCCGCCCTCCGTTCTGCCCATCTTCTTCGAAACACGCGCAACTTCCGAGAGCATCTCTGTAGCCAGTAGTACATCAAGCATTTCCTCAGACGTCCTGAGCGCCAGCTCCTCCAGCTTGCCCTCCTCTTCCTTCTCCAGCTCGAGTTATCTTTCAAGTCCAAGTCCAAGTCCAAGTCCCACCCCGACTCCAATCCCCGTCGAAGAGCCAGCCCCAGAAGCCCCCCGGCGCGCCAACGCGACGCTACTGATGCTCTCGCGCAACAGCGAGCTCGACAAGGCGGCGGCGAGCGTGCGTGAGCTCGAGGACAAGTTCAACCGCCAGTTCGCGTACCCGTGGGTCTTCCTCAACGAGGTGCCCTTCTCGGACCAGTTCATCGCGTAAGTTCCGCCCGCATGTGCCTGTTTTATCGAGTTGCGGTGTGTCTGACGTGTTTGTGCTGTGCTCCGGGTGTTTGGTTGGATCCGTCGCGTGTTGTTGTGCTTAGGCGTATGACGGAGCTCGCGTCGGGCCCGGTGTACTTCGGCCAGATCCCCCCGCATCACTGGTACCAGCCCGCGGAGATCGACGAGAACAGGGCGGAGACGGGACGGAACGAGATGGTCGAGGAGGACATCATCTACGGAGGTGCGCCCCACCCGCAGCCTCACCGTATCTTCGCTGACGCGCACGCTGGCGCAGGCAGCGTGTCGTGCGTCCCACCCTTCTGAGCTGTGAGTGCACCCAGTGAGTTGATGACGTTTGGTATGCAGATATCGGAACATGTGCCGGTTCAACTCTGGTGTGAGTGCGTCTCCACTGTTTCTCTACTGCACTGCATGACGATGACGCGTAACGCATACTCGCGTCCGCAGTTCTTTTACCGCCATCCGCTCTTGCAACAGTTCCGGTGGTACTGGCGCGTCGAGTGAGTCGGAGCGCCCGTGTATACGCTGATGGCTGACGCTCGTCGGTGATGCGCAGGCCGGACGTGCACTTCCACTGCGTGACGGACGAGGATCCGTTCCTGTACATGGAAGATAACGATAAGCACTACGGTACGTTTCCGGCTGTGTGGTGTCGTGAGGTGTGGTGCTGATAGGTAGTGCGTGCTTACTAGGGTTCACGATCTCCCTGCTCGAGTTCGAGAAAACGATCGAGACACTGTGGGAGACAACGAAAGGTGCGTGCGCTGCACGGGCCCTTCCCCCAACCCACCTCCGTATCCCGAGGCGTATGAGGACTCAACTGACTAATCAAATTCGTGCTCTACCCAGAGTTCATCGCGGAGAACCCGCAGTACGTCGCACCGAACAATTCGATGGCGTTCCTTTCCAACGACGGCGGGGAGACGTATAACCTCTGCCACTGTGCGTATTTCCCATCTTTTAGTGAGCGACGCGCTGACGGCCTTTGCAGTCTGGAGCAACTTCGAGATCGCGGACATGGACTTTTGGCGGGGCGAGGCGTATGAGAAGTATTTCCGCTACCTCGACTCGAAGGGCGGGTTTTACTACGAGGTGCGTTCCCCCTCTTCAAACCGCTGGATCCCTTCTCTGTCTTCCCTTCACCCCTTCCCCTTCTCGCCCGCCTTCGACACTACACAATTCCTCCTACCTCTTCGCCTCCACTGACGCTAACATTCCTGGGTTCTCTCCAGCGCTGGGGCGACGCGCCCGTGCACAGCATCGCGGCGTCGCTCTTCCTGCGCAAGGACCAGATCCACTTCTTCGACGAGATCGGGTACGAGCACCACCCGTTCACCCACTGCCCGCACGGGCCCGGCCTGCACAGGAAGAAGCGCTGCACGTGTCGCGGCTGGCGGAGCTTCGGTGAGCCTTTCCTTCTCTGCATCCCTCCCTTCCTCCTTTCGTTGGTCCCTCCGACCTTCCACCCCTTCGGTTTCTCCGGGACCGGGCAGCTGACGCGTTGAGTGTCGGTAGACTATCAGGGATACTCGTGCCTGAAGCAGTGGGAGCGAATACACCCGTGAGCTGAGTAGCGTCAGGCGAGTCGGCTGTGCGCGTTCGCCCATGTGCCGGACTCGGTCAGGTTGTGTGGTGCCTCACAAAATGGTCTCTGCGGCCGCATTAGTCTGGCCGTGTAGAAACGCACGCAGCTTTTCCTGTGGACGAGCGAGCGACCACCGCGCTCGTTCGGATTCTGCCCCTGCGCGTCGGACAGCGTCCGTATCGGAGGTGCGTAGGCAATGGCAACGAAGTCCTGTTTTCGCGGGCGTGCGGCGGTGCTGCCAGACAAAATATAGCATGGGCCCTCTTCACGATCTAGCGCGTCATCTATCTGTATTTATAGAGTAGAGGTTAGCACGTGTGCGTCGGTGCGCGGACTATGGTATTAGATGCTGAGATCTCTGCAGTCGTTGTAACACTATACAAGTATACATTTGCATCTCTGGTTTGCTGCTTCGATATTCGGGATGGAGAGCCGGGGTTGGCGGTCTTGAAAGTCCCGCGGTATACGTGTGCTTGTTCGTGCAATGAGAGCATGTACTTGGATTGCAGGTAGGACACACGTTACAAAGGGATATTCATGCCAAAAGAACACATTATGAACAAGAAAAAGGCTCTATCGCCGGCCAGACTTGAGGTAGACACCCCCAGCAAAACGGGCACAGATTATGCGCCAGGCTAGTGATCATACTCTGTCAAATTCACGGCCGTCGACTCTCGCGTCAGTGATCAATGACAATGCAGTTCTCGAGTGCATGCCCTCTTCCCGAAGAAATATATCTCGTCGCTGTCCAAGTCCTCATCGTATGAAGTGTCCGCCGATGGGCCTAATTCCATTGCTACAGTCAGATGGAGAATGTGAGCAAGACATCCGTATCAAAAGCATATAATCGGAATCACGCACTCCTGATCAAGTCATGCAAACCCCAGTCATTGTCGTGCAGACGGCGCCGCTGCTCCACCGCGTGGTCCTCTCCGATCTTCAGTAGAAAGCAATCAGCCTTGTGGAGTGCAGGCGTCCAATCTGCCTTCTGGCACTACACATCTCTTCTGTAAGTGATCGTCCGGAACGCACCCGCCATTCTGAATGGGCTCACCTTCTGCGAACAGTAGAGACGAGCACAGCAACCAGAGCAGCGCTTGAAACGCGGCGCGCCCCTCGTCTCCCACTTTCCGCAATGCGCGCAGGCATATATGAGCTCGGTGCGTGGGACAAGGACCTCGACGACGGGCTGTCCGCCTACCCTCTCCGCAGTCAGTTTGATAGGTGCCCGGCCATTGTAGTCGCGCATCTTCAGCAAATCCTGAAGTAGATCTTCATTGCCAAAACGCCCTCCGTCGTTTAGCACAATGCGGGGATGTCCATCGGCGGAGTCGGACAGGAAGGTCTCGCTCCCGTGCACGACATTCAAGCACTTCCATGTACGGCGGCCGTCGACCCCGTCAAACCTAGCGAAGCAGAGAAACCACGACGCATGGTGTCGTCCAATGGCGATCGGTGCCTTCCCCATCCCAGAATCCGGGAGGGTGAAGATGCGAATAGGCTTTGAAGCTGCTGGGGCGGCCTGCTGGGACATGTTATCAAGCTAAACAAAATGTCAGACAGGATCTGGTTCAAAATGGACATGACCACCATATTCACCTGGACACAGCAGACGCTACAGAGATCGTGGTTGAAAGGGAGAAGGTGTTTCTGCTGTCAGGGTGTTTTATATACATATTCATCTGGCTTGACGCCTTCGCCATCAACACGTGTAGAGGCATGCGCCTTTGAGATTCGCATCCCGACAGCGACTACAAGGGTTTGATATATCACAGCCAGAGATATCGGCTTTCGTTAAACTGCTCCTCGGTCCTTGGAAACGGTCTTGCCTTTGTTGTGCGTTGAGTGGATAGCATCACAATTCGAGATGCTGCCTCTCGTTTGTTTTATTTAAGTGTGATCTTCGACCAGACTGGACATCTCGTAAGTCCACTGACAGAGTCTTCCGTTGGTGCTGCTGGTTATTGCACAAGTAGCAAAGACTACGGCCGCAGGAAAGGTTTTAAGGGAGCCACACCTTCGAGAGCCTTCACCAATGCTTGAGACGACACTTTCGGCGTGCGACTTCATGGTGAGAGAGATGGACATATTCTGAATGGGACACAGTTTCGTACGTCTGGAGCAAGTAGCGCTTGTGCTTGTCGAAGCAATAATGTCGTTCTGAAGTGAATGGTGGGTTGGAGCTCCACCTCACCGGAGGTCACGCGCACGTGAAGACAAGTCGCGTTTGTCACGGGTCGGTGACAACAGGAAAATTCTAGTACTGTACATTATGACTTCAGGAACGAGCAACGCCGACAATCGAAAATAAATGCTCTACTTGTGTACCGATCCTCGTTGAATAAATACTTGATCCACAAACTTGATAGTCAGCACGGAACCCAACAACGGCCCGAGTGTGGCGTTGGCGACCTAGTGGTTCCAATAGTTGGGATCTTTGTCATAAGCACCAAAGAAACGAGTACGAGGGTTAGGGTCTTTCCCTAGAAAGATATGCGAGGTCAGACATAAGGAAGAAGTGAATGAATCTATCTGCCAGTGCGCACCTTCCCTTTCCCGCTTCTCTCCCCAGTCGTTGACGTGCCAGCCGCGACGCTCGGCGACTATCCCTTCTAACCCCAGCTTCAGCAGCGTGCAGTCGGACATGTGGAGATTAATTTTGTCATCCGCGTGGAGGCACTGTCTCCTTCGTGAGTGGTCGATCGGAAAGCAGGGCCACCGAGCGCGTACCTTCGCCGTGCAGTAGCGACGTGCCCGGCAGGTCTCACACATGACGAATCGAGGCCTGCCTCTTGTTTCCCACTTAAGGCACTCACAATACGAGCAGGAATACACGAGCTCGTCCGGGGGGACGAGCACTTCGACGACAGGAAGGTTCCCTACTTTGAGTTCGGTGAGCTTGATGGGTGGCCGACCATTACCATCTCGCATTGAAAGCAGATCCTCGAGAAGGTTGGTATTTCTGATGACTTGTGGCCCGCTGTTGAGGACAAAGCGGGGATTTCCCTCCGGAGAATTACGGGGGGACGTATTGGGACCGCCGATCCAATTCAGGCAATTAGCGATTCTATGATCATCGTCTTCTGGATAAACATAGCAGAGGAACCAAGAAGAATGCCTTCTTCCGATCGCGTACGGTCCTTCGTGCGAGTCTGGAAGCCTGAAGGTGCGAATGGGTGCCACTGTATTCCGCGCTTTCCATGACATTGCTAGGATCAGTCAACGTGTTAGGAGAGGATCTCTTGTGACGAGTGACTTGAGTTACCTACTTGTTTAATTTGATAAAGTGGCCCCGGAATTGTTGTTACAGTATGAAAGGCAGTCGCGCTTGAGACCCGTCTTTAAATTGTAGCACGTGTAGCTTTCGCTTTGTGGCCACAAGCGTTGCCAAACACTGCATGCTTCAACACTTGATACAGGCCTACCTCCAACGTAATTCAGCTCCTCGATTTTAGAAAATACACTTAAATCAGACTGACTGGAATACCGCAGCTCGCAATATAAAAAATGGGTTTCGTTCTTCCCCGGCACCATTCAAGTCGCCCGGTGTCTTGGACAATCAGATTGGAGAGCTGTCCACTCCAAACCTCGTCTTCTCCTGGGCATCCTCTCTAGCAGGTCCACAAGTGACTTGTGTTGGATAAGAACGGATTACTGCAATGCAGACAGCTCGGGGGTATGGCTCAGCTCCCGAACGTGCATACGCTCATGGAGGCTCTCCAGTTTCGCGAGTTCTGCCCGCTATGATTAAGCCCATCTGCATGGTGCCGGACGACCGGACGGTGGGCTTCTAAGGCGTACTTCATGTCAGTGAAACCGCATAGGAATAACGTCTGTAGAAGCACCTCCATAACGTGCGGGAGGACTGGGGTCTGGGTAACTTCAGTGTACATATGACCCAAAATGGGAGGACATAGTCGATCCTGGCAGGGCCACGGTGGTCGTGGCGTCACCACACAGAACACACACAAGACAGTCGCGACAGAGGTAAGGTCGGCCACCCCGACGGCGCCCATTGTTGTCACTTGCACGGGCGGCGGTACTGCGCGATTTCCGAGAGGGAGACGCCGAGCTCGGAAGCATCGTCAACTGACGGATTCTCTGAGGCTGAGGTTGTATATAAACGTGCCTGTCGAGACCGCGGCGACGAAGCTCTCTAGCATCATAGAAGCTACGACGAACAGACTAGCGACCGCGATTTTGACGAACGGGGTGATGATTAGCATACCGTCGGGAGGAGCCCGACTTGCCGCATTGGGTGCCTCGCGGGTCCGCGATGGGCGCAGTATGCTCCAATGTCCTACGGAAGAACGTGCATATCGAAAGCCTAACGCCGATGATGAAGATGTATGCGGGGGCGACAGAGATCCTGATCTTCTGCAACGGTTAACAACGTTGTAACGGTATGCAGGCTCCAGGCGCACGATAGTGCCTAGAATAAAACCAAGCCAACGAGAGTTGCAGGATGAAATGCGTCGTCAAAACGCATTCTTGCCAGGCTTCCTCGAAAGAACACACGCAACCATATCAGTCCCGCGATGGAATCACAGTACCAGCCATGACCCCAAAGCAAGTAGCCTTGGTTCCCTAGAGCCATCTGTGTATCGCACATGCATCCTATAGTGATCGACTTCTCCTCGCTCCCTGGGATATTGCGCGTTCGATCGGGTGCTCGCATATGGAACCGAGGAAGTGAGCGACGACGCGTCGTCCAGCGCTGTAGCACGTACTCTGCGACGACGACGACGAAGACTGGCCCGGATAATATGGTGTGCGCTACCCTACACCGAAGTCAGTTTCATGCTGGATGATCGCCCTGTTCCACTAACCAAAGGGACTGCTGACAAGGTATGTAGACTGTGAGTCGACCATGAACACCGACTGCACAACATCCGGCCAAACGCTTTCGAACGTGGATACGCTGACACTCTGCAGTGTCTCAGCGTCCGTTATATCCTCCGCGGAAACATTCTGGGCACAACCGAGCAGCTAGAAGGACGGATCGTAACACACATCCGCATCCCAGATAATTCCGGCGATGTCGCTCGGTTAACTACCAAACGCGTCCTCGCTGACCGGCGACCGGAGACACGTTATTCAACCAATACAGGTGCGCGTCGCTCCTTGAAAACGTATGTGGTGAGTTCCCGACGGGCACACCGTAACTGCTGAGGATGGGCGGAAGGAGAGCTCCAGACGATCAGGGCAGTTCGAGTAGCCGAGAAAGGTGCAAGCCTACTGGAGTAAGAAGTGCCATTGACTCCGACCTGCGATAAGTTGTAGTTGTTCAGTCCGGCTTCGTCTTATCGGAGAGGGTTATGTCAAATCTGCTCAAATGTGTTCTGCATGAAGGTAGAAAGTGTCGTCCTACAGAGATCATCGTGGTAACTGCATAATATTAGTTGGAAGAATCGACCAGTTGGCTGTCTGATCCGAGTGAAGGCGCAATGAATCCCATTGTTAATACCAAATGTCTGAGAAACACACCGGCAGGCCCATCGCGGCCATATCTTTCACTCGTCTATAACTTCCGCGCAATGGCATACATACCGCAGTCACGCAAGCCAGATCCCACATCTCAGACGAGGATAGTAGCTGCAAGATACGCGGGAAGTCAGCAAATGCACGTTCGCCTAAGCACAATCGCCCAGGATGAGCGGGGAAGAATAGCCAGCGTGGTTCGTTCCTCACACTGTATCTGCCTAGCCATCATCAGGGCGTAGGACACCGTCGCAACCGCCAGACATCCCGGTCGTTGTATCCAGTCGTCCAGCCATCCTAAAGAAAATACTGTTCGGCAGGGAAGGAGACCGTAAATAAGACTAGGTACCAGCTGTCCTCTTTGTCTAAACACTAGTCGTGCTTCGTGGAGTAGGAGCGCGAGCAGACGGAGAGTTCGGACAGGATTTTCTGAGTACTGTAGTGTGACCGATCGTGTGCGTCACAATTGCGTGACTGATGCGATGTGCACATGCAATGAACGAACGACCATCACTCCAGGCCGACTCGGAGCCTCCTTAGACAACGTCGATGGTACCTGGAATGAAGTCTATGACCTCTTTCTGGTTTTCTCCTGGTCTTTAGCTCAGAATAACGGGCTCGGTGCACTCAAATGGTTGAAAACTTATGGCTGCAAGTGTTCTCAAACGACAGGTTCGCGAAACTTCTACTACAGTGCAGGGCGTGGTGGACGCGCCGAGTAGGGTTGTTTGGTTTCCTCAATGCTCGAGGTGCCTTCTGGATATCTTGGGGTAATAGAACCTCCGCTCGATTGGGATGGTCGTCCATCGTAAATGTTGCAGTGATTGCTCCTGCAGAAGTCCTCTCAAGGAGCGACACAATGCAAACACATTGTTTCACTATCTGAGGCGACCTTGCGTAGACGTGTTCGTCAACAACACTAATTTCGGATGTGGTAATTATGCGGTTATGCGCGAGTGTTCACCATCGTCATGACATCTACTCCGAGGGAGGACGCAAATGTGTAAACCCGATGGAATGATGGGTTATCCTCCGATAGACGGACCACCTAGCTAGCCGGCTGTCTGCAAATCCGACCCGGAGCATTTTACAGGCCGTGATTAGTGAACGAACTAGCATGGATTCCTTTTGGGGCATTTCTCCTTCCCTTTTTGGCATTCCACTTTGAGCGTTGTCGTCGTCGTCTTTCCACCTTCGAACCCCTTCCTTCGTGCTCGCGTGCCACATTCCATATATATGCATGGATTCTCTAATGTATTTACAGCTGGGTTCACATTGCAACAGACTATAAGCATACAACTTGGTGCTCGGCTCTCCTTCGAATGGCTCAGATCCCTCCCACCCTCCTGTCTAATCCGAAGAAGCGACGAGAGCGGCAGGCCGAGCTGATCGCGTCTGAACGTTGAACACTTCTCAATAATCAGAAGAGACATGACCTGGAAGACGGAGGACCGTGACGGCGCATATCGATCCGCCGATCCGCCGGAGCACATACTTCAGCGGCCTTCCATAGGTCGAAGTTTGCTCTTCGGACGGTTGTTCGCCGGTCGCAAGGTAGGTGTTGAATTTTGAGGTACCAATGAACTGGCAAACTGCGAATAAATGCGGCTGATGATATCTTTCTCACTTCCCCCCGAACGAAGCTTTCGCGAGGATCTTCAGTTAGGCTACACTCAGCTTGAAGTCAAGAACATTCAGCGAGTAGAGATTCCAGATTCTCGAGTCATTAGAAGTTGGCGCTCAGGTGATTAGGCATAACCGGCACATACCTGAGCAGGGAGAGATGAGTCAAGTCGGACCTATCCTCGAGTCATTTCGGGCAAAACGACGAAAAAGCAGAGTGGTAGGGATGCATTCTCGGACTTGGACTCCTCCAGGTCTATCCTCCCACTCTCTGCTGACCCCGTAACAGTGCGAACATGTCCGTGTCTATGTCGTCTCCTAGCGGGAACGGATCCGCTACAGTGAACGGCACCACATGTTCTGAAGGTACTAGAGTCCCGGACTCCAAACCCGCGGCAAACAGTTCAGAGGCGCTGAATGTACTGCCTGAGGAGTTCTACGAGCCGTACCTCTCCCATGTCGCGAAAAAACAGGGAACCCAGATCCTAGTGAGTCTCACCAAAGTCCAAGTCATCGACATACAGCAACTCACCCATTGTCAGTCCGGTCCCTCTTTCCACCGGAGGACCGCCCCGATGTAATCTCGCTGCTCGCAGGCAAGCCGAACTCCAACACATTCCCCATCACCTCTTTGCAATTCACGACGCACGACCCGCAGTCGCCGTCCGAGGACGTGACGCTCGAGCTCAACGCGGACGATCTGGCGATTGCCTTGCAGTACACCGAGACTGCGGGGCTGCCGGAGTTATGCGAATGGGTGTACGGTTTTCAGGGTTGCTACCATGGGCGCCAGAAGGGAGAAGGGTGGAAAGTCAGCATCGGCGCTGGGTCGCAGGATATGATCAACAAGGTATGTGGCGAGGCGCTCGAGCCGTTGGTTCAGGGCGGGGTTGCTGACGATGCGCAGGCCGTGGCTGCGCTGGTGAATCCTGGAGATCCGGTGCTCGTGGAGGCGCCTGTTTATGTGTATGTTCCCTGATGGGATATCATGCGTGTGAGGCAGACACGTCTCTGATGCCGATGCAGAGGCATTATTCCTATTTTCCAATCACTAGACTGTGAAATGATTGGTGCACTTTCCGTTTAACTTTGCCGCATCTACTAGCTTCCTGACCCTGGCGGAGACAGAGGTGGAGACAGATGCAGAAGGTATCTGCTCTCAATCGATCCGCGAGATCCTAGAGAGCTGGCCTGCATTCAAGCCCAAGCCGAGAGTACTTTACACCATTCCCGTGAGCGTATCGTCTTGGTAGCGAGACTTCCAGCCTCACATCTCGCATCTCAGTATGGTTGCAACCCGACAGGTATGACTGCGAGCCGTAAACGTCGTCTTGAGGTATTGGAGCTTGCACGAGAACACGGCTTCCTCGTTCTTGAAGGTATGCGAAGCTTTGCCTCAGCCGTTCACTTCTTCACGGCACAACTGCTAGACGATCCTTACTACTTCCTCTACTATGGGAAAGCCGAACGGCCGCCATCGTACTTCGCACTAGAGCGAGGCGAGCCGGAGGTGGGCCGGGTGCTTCGCTTTGATAGTCTTTCCAAGGTCGTATCAGCAGGAATGAGAATGGGCGCCCTGTCTTGGCCTGAGCCTCTCGTGAGAGCGATAGACAAGCACGTACGCCTCTGTCTTTCTATCCGCAATCTAACTCGCTGATTCTTTACCCCTGCAGACCGCAACTGCAAATATGCAGCCGTCCTCGCTCACGCAGATGATTGCGCTGAAGATTCTGCAGCGCTGGGGCTACGATGGCTTCAAGCGGCACGCCGACGCGGTGTCAGGATTCTATCGCCAAAAGCGGGATGCGTTCGAGGACGCGATGAAGTGTCACCTGGCGGGACTGGCGGAGTGGACCACGCCCGAGGCGGGCATGTTTGTTTGGCGGGTGATTTAATGCACATCGCACTGCTCGTCATCTGACGTGTGCCCACGCAGGTTCAAACTGCTCCTGGGTGACCCGGGCGCCGCCTCCGAGACGGACGTGCACGACTCGAACCACATCATCCGGACGAAGGCGCTCGAGAGGGGCGTGCTCGCTCTCCCTGGCACGGCATTCTTCCCCAGCGGCGCCACCACCGCGTACGTGCGCGCGTCGTTCAGCATCCCTCCCTCCGATCGGGTCGACGAGGCGCTCCGGCGGTTGCGCGAGGTCATTCTGGATGCGCGGACGTCTGGGCCACAGCGCGCCTGAGTCGGCCGAGGTCGTGAGCGGCTTGCTGCAGACTGACCGGAGGTGAAAAGCTCAGTAGGGCATGTAATTAATATCTGTTTTGGGATCGAGTCGTACCTTCAATGAAACCTCCGCCGCGCGAGATTTGCGGCGCCTGTATCAGGTTGTGTGCGATTGTCGACTCGAAGCTAGCCCGTCTGATTTACAGTTTCTCTCCGGCGCATGGTCGCCCGGTTCGTCTTGCTCGAATGTGTCGCCCGCATAGTCCCTGCGGTGTGCATTCTCGGTGCTTGCTTCGAGTCACGTCGAGGAGTAGGCTGCAAGTTTTCCGCCCGCTTAAACTCTAGCAGTCAGTAGTTCGGTCATTACTAACGTCATCGGATAACTACGCGGAACCCAGGAGTCGAGTGAATTCAAGGATGGAAGGCTCCGGGTGGGCTGGCATGATGCCGACATTCCATCTGAGCGCTCTGAAGTATACTTGCCTTAAGTAGCATATCTCCTTCCCCTTTTGGCATCCCACGCTGAGCACTTTGTCATCATCGTCATTCCGCTTTTGAGCCCTTTCATTCGTACTTGAGTGTCGTATTGGATTATCTATGTATACTAGTTCTTATACTGGTAATAACCTTGCTAATATTTATGCGTTCTGCTGACCGCGCTCTACTTTGTCTCTTACCGCTAGCGCTCTTCGACCCAAAGTCTGGCTTCGTCGTGGTGCTGTAGAAGCACCAGGATCTCTCCGTGCGCCCGTCTCATCGCACGTCTCCTGTCGTGCAATAGACTCCGCGTCTTAACCTCAGCTCAGACCCCGCCTCACTTGGCTCACCGACAGACAGGTCTTCCTCCGCGCTACCGCTGACCCCGTATCGTACAGCGCGTGGTCGATAATTAGATCTGGATGCTCGATCTGCAAGACGGAGGAGCGCGATACTGCAGCACATGCTCAACCAGTCTCTAGATTTCGAACAGGTCGGGATTCGATATGTATGATCCTCGCTGCTCTAAAGGTCGCGAGTTTGGTGTCGAGGTTGCTATTGGTGATGAACTTGGTGTCGAGGCGCCGACAAGCTATGAGTGAAGGCCGAGCACTGAGAATCTCGCCCTACACAGCTTTCGCAATGTTGGCTCTCAGCAAAGGGAGAAGGCCTGGTGCTCGGCTGATTAGGCCCAACCGGCTAGTGCGAACGAGTCAAGGTGAGCCATAGATCCAGCGCCGATGCGCCGGGTGCATATAAACCCATCCTCATATCGATTCCTCCCAAGCAGAGCTCAATTCGCCCACCGACATCGCACCTTCATGTCATTCGTGAACCTCTACAAGCCCCCTCCACCCCCGGTGGTGCTCCCCGAATCCGAATTGTACGGCCCGGAGCCATACGACATCAACTTCGCGTTCCCGCTGCAACCCCCCACGCTCGAATGCGCACGCGTGCGCCTGGAGCCTTTCGTGCCCGCAGAGCACGCGCGCGCGTACTGGGACGCGCTCGGGGCGCAGGGTACAGCGCCCTTCCGGTTCTACCCCTTCTACCAGCGCACCCTCCCTGAATTCCTCTCCTTCCTCGAGCATGCCTTCCGGCGCGTCCCCACGCAGCTCATGCTCGCCATCATCGACAAGACCCCCCAGCCCACACTGGCGGGGGTGCTCGCGCTCGTGAACACGCACGTGGAGAACCGCACGACGGAGATCGGGCACGTCCTCGTCTTCCCCGCCTTCCGCCACACGCACGTCGCGAAGACGGCGGTGGGGCTCCTGCTGCGGTACTGCCTGCAGCGCCCGGGGGCGGACCCGCCCGGCCTAGGTATGCGCCGCGTGGCGTGGTGCGCGCACCCACGGAACGCGCCATCCATTGGCCTTGCGGAGCGCATGGGCATGCGGCGCGAGGGGCACCTTCGGTGGTTGTGGGTCCTCCCTGAGGCGTTGGCGGCGGAGGGCAGGGAGCCTGCTGAGGAGGATCCCGTGAGGGGCTATGGGCGGGATACGGTCTTGCTGTCGCTGTGTTGGGATGAGTGGGAGGGCAGAGGGCGCGACGCGGTGCAGGCGATCACTGGGGACTAGTGCGGTGCCTTTGAGCGCGTACGAGGGAGTATAATGTGAATTAATAGCTATGGTGAACAGAACACTGTCACAAGTTACTCGATGAGATCTGCTGCATATAACCCGTCAGTGATCCCTAACTTTGGTTGGGTATACATGGGCCGAAGACACACCTTCTTAGAGGTCACACTCACGGTAATCGCCCAACATTGAGTCGCCGAATAATGTCTTCACTTTCTCGATTGTACTTTCCTCGTTCTGTCAGGGTCAAGCACGCGTCACGCCTTCCTGTTCTATGTAGAGCTCGTCTGTATTCCCAGAACGGAGAGAGGGACCACTTTGCAGGGGATCAGCACACGGTCCACGGGAGCACCCTTATAACCGATGGGCAAGAGAAAGGATGCGAGAAAAGCCGTTAAGCCAGGAAAAGAGCAAACATTTGCTGAAGGCGCTGTCCTCTCTGCGAGCGCGGGTGGCCGAGATAGGAGAACGAAGGGAGGAGGAGGTACGCACATAACCCCTTTTCACAGTCTCGCCCGTAGTTGATTCTGCGTTGCGTGGGAAGGACACCGAAGTTTGTTTTGACCTTGATGCCACTCAACGTCTGTGGAACATCTGCAACAACATAGGTTCAGAAGTGCGGGTTCGAGGATTCGTGTTGGTCCCATATGCAGAGCGAGATGGAGAGGAGGCCCGACTTCGACTGGGCAAAATACGTGTATGAGGAGAGTGGTAAGGACCTCCCACTGGGGGAGTTACGCTACATTCTTGGCAAGCCAAAACACCTCGCTGAGCGTTCTGACATGGATAGGGTACCTGTACTCGTAAGGTGGGCCAACAGCTGGTCACGGTAGAGGAGTACATATCCAGGGATTCTTGCATGGCAGCGCGCCATATATACTGTAGCATCCGAACCCACCGCTCCGTCGGGTCGACAGTCTGATCATGAGTAACTGCATAAATGGTTCTCTGTCATCAGCACGCGGACCGAATTAGCAGGTCGAGGAAAGAAGAGAGTGAATGCGGTAACCAGTCGACCTGGCTGCTGCAACGTTCCGGAGTTATATTCCACACGATGAGATGTAGTCTGCACTGGTGGGTTCATGTCCACACTTTTGAGCGCACCGGTCCATCAACTCGTTTCACCGTACGCGAATTTTCCGTGGCCTTCGTATGTCTTCGAGTCAGCCCACCTGGCGGGAGGAGTGAGTGGTCCACATTCAGAATTAAAATAAATTTGGATTACAACCTCACCGATTTGTATGAGATTCGAAGAACAGTAGACAGATTTCTCGACAGATTTCTCAAATTGGTAGGTGGTTGTCAATACCAACACCTCTATACCTCCGAAGCCGGTCAAAAATTCTTCTTGAATTCGAACGTAGATCGAAACCACTCATGTTCGGCTAGAACAGCAGCACTTGGCCTGTCCTCCGGATCCATCGCCAATGCCGACATCATGAATGACTTGAACAGCTCTACCTCTTCAGGATACCATCGCTTGCTATAAATGCTGTCCAATTTCTGCACCAAGGTCGGCACCCCCGGGTAGTCGAGACTCGGCATGAAAGTTCCTGCAAGAGGGTTGCTTAATCCGGAGACAGAATAAGCAGGTTTGATCTACCGTCTGGGTCGAAGTAATGCCTGGAGTATTTTCCACGAACGATCAGATCGGGAGGTATCGGTCCAAGGCGGAGTATCATGACGGTGAGTTGTTGGAAGGGCCGAGCTTCATGATCATTCAAAACTACGGGGAGGAGAGGATCCCCTGTGATCATTTCGTGAACCTGGGACAAAAGAGAGTAAGGCATCAAGAGCGAGTAGTATGTAATAAATAGACCAAGCTCACAAGACATCCTACGTTCCAAATATCAATCTTTGAGTCCCATCCAGCACCGAGAAACACCTCCGGGGCTCGGAGAGCCGAAGGCTGTACCATGTCGGTGAAATGTTCCTCAACCTTGTCTGCCCAGCAAGCTGTATGTATCGGAAATCAGACGAGTGAATCAAGAGCACGAACAGTCTCGTATACTAACCGACACCCAGGTCAGCGATCTTCACCTTAAGCTTCGCCAGGCGCTGGACATCTTCAAACCGTACAGGGATTGGCTGCGATTTAACGTAGTTGAGAACCCTTCCATCCACATTGGTTACTGGTGGATAGACGACGGGGGGAATGTCGTCCATGGCCTCCTTGACAAAAGCTTCTGGATCCTCCAGCTCAATCAAGAAGTTATCGGGTTTCAAATCTGTCCGAGTGTAAGTTTAGCTAAAAAGCCCACAATATCCAGAAAAGAGGCATACATACCGGTATGAATGATGTTGCTCTTATGAAGATAATCCAAACCCAAGAGCACTTGTTGGATTATGTCCTTCACAACTACAGGGTGGAGACGACCTCCCTCGTAATACTCCGACAGCCACTGCACGGACTCTCCAAGAAGTTCCGTGACGATACACAAGTGCGACCCATGCGGGCCAATGAGGTGGAAGCTGTCGATTAATCGAACTATACGAGAAAATCCTGGATGTTCCGAGTGAGTCCGCGAAAGATGCTGCAGAAACGCCAGCTCATGTAGATGTCTTGTATCGGTTGCTTCTCCTGCACCCACGAATCAGGACCGTGCGAAGGAACAAGACACAGTTAATTACCCGTCAGTATTTTTATAGCTACATGTCGCTTCGATCTAGGCGCAAAGCTTCAGGTTGATATCAATCGGAGCGGGAGAGAGATAGGAACGTCCTGAGTATCTTCTGCAAGCCACACAGTAGAGTATTGACCCCACTCCAGCTTTATCACGAAACGTTCATTTAGAGTATCCCCGAGGTTGGTAGGATGATAGCCTCCCGACACGTAGTGCAATAACGATTCCTCGTCAGGAGGGCCTTGCAAAGCCTGAGGATTCGACGTAAGGCTAGAGGACGACATTCTGCGGAGGCAAAGACCAATCCCGAAAGCAGCAAAACGATTGTTCACCAAAGGTGGCAGGGAACGATACCGCAGGAAAGCGAAACGCAGGAACCGGTGCATTTATGCGATGGTCGCGTCAGCGCTTTAGTCGTGGCACAATTCAGTTTTTGTGATAACGGCAAGTTGCCACTGGAACTCCTGTGTGAGTCGCGTGTCGCGTGACTGCTACCTCAATACAGCGCTGCCGCCTGTGGCTCACGTACCCGCAACCATAGCCCCTTTATTTACCTCCTCTCCTCCTCTCGTTCTCGGTTGTTTACTATCACAGCTTCACATGGCACCCCCCAAACGCGTCGTCTCCCCCTCATCGCCTTCAGGATCATCAGCGAAGAAGGTTCGTGCCCTCCCAAGTGGCGCTGAATTTGAGACGCAACCACCGGATGATCAGGGGTTATCCTCGGTGGACGGAGAAGCAGTAGGCGAACCTGCTACCGTTGGTATGTCGATGGTGGAAGAACCAGTATCAAGTTCCAGTTCTGATGTTTCCGGCGGCCTCTGTAGAAGACATTGTTGTCGGTGGAAGCACTCACCTGGCTGCGCCATTGGCGGGCGGGTGTGCGTTGGAAGAGTCTCCTCAGGCTGGGCTGGCGGAACTGGAGTATGTGGATGATCCTTTCTCCGACGAGCAACATGCGGCTTGGGATGCAAGGGTAATGTTGGCCGTCCGCAAGGAGGGTATCTCTCCACAGGTCTTCCCTCTTACTGTTGCTGTTGCTCTACTGCAAATTATTCTTCGCGACATCAAGACATCTGTCAAACCTGCGCTACTGGATCGTGACGAGATCAAGATCTTTGAGCTTCTACTACAACATCGAGACATGCTGCTCCCCGCGTTAGAGCAAGCCCTTCGAATAGGACGGTTTGCTGCTGTACGTCGTATGGGTAAGTGTGTTTTGTTGCGGATACTATTGTTAAATACATTGATATATGTACTGCTGTAAGCGCTACTCCGCGAGGATGCGACATCTTCGTCATCTGAGGGGGCCGAGGCTAATTTCATTCATGGTAAGTTCTCGGTGTAATTTCAACTATGCGGTACTGATCGCACAATGGATCGCCTGTTAAAGCACCACCATCGGACCCGGTAGAGCCTCTGCAGCCGCAGGCTCAAACTCCGATGTCTTTCGGGGACATGAAGAGTGCTATCCTCGATTTTGAAGAGAAAATACGTCCTGAACTGAAACGATACATCGTGGGCAACCACCCTACATTCAATCCTCCATCTTCAGCAGTGAACGACAGCACCCTTTTCATAGATGGTATGGGAGGTATGTCTGAGAAGGACCCTGCCGTGCGAGAACGAGTCGAAAAACTCTTCTCTGGCGAAATGGATGCCGATCAAAATCTTCGGTATGTCCATATTTTACGACTTCTGTTCTGCACTTCGCTGACATCGTCCCAGTGTCTTGTTCAATGCTCCTGGTACAGGAAAGACTACGCTGCTTGTCGAAGGCTTGTGTCGCTACTGGGGTCTATATGTGGTGTCATGCGATGACAAAAAGGATCCCTTGGGATCCAAAGACGCCGATACTGCATGGAACGTTCTTCAAATGGATCCTGGATTCACTCCTAAGGTACCCCTCACACCGACCAAGAACCACGCAGTTGCAAATAATGTCAAGATCGCTGCGCGAACATTCCGTTTGGTCTTGCTCGCACGCTTGAGCATCTTCGATTTCTTCCTCCGTTGCGCTCCACCACATGTCGACGAGGCGGACTTACGACGCCGGTGGCTGTACCTTCAACTTCGACCTTCTGGCCTATTCCGAAAAATGGACATCTTTGATGAATTATTCCAAGCGATACATACAGTTCAAGATGACAATGCGGTGGCACGTAGAATCTACGAGTTAGAGAAGGCCATTCGCGATGATGTCCATGTCAACGTCGGTTCTCTCTTCTTTGTACTTGACCAAGCCGAGGTCGCATCAGAGAGGGGAACAGAGGCTTTCTGGTCATCAACGTCTGGCGGGGGGCATGGAAGTGTGCTGGGCGAGATGTACAATGCTTGGTCCGAATTCTCTATGGCTATGATTATCTCTGGGACTGTTCTTCCACTAGAGCTCCTCACGAACTCAATACATACACGACGGGAAAGGAAATAATGTAGCCAAAGCTTTTCTCAGATACCGGATTTTTCGATAACGAGGACTGTATGCGAAGTTACATCACCGACCGAGTTTGGCCGAAGCGCGAATTGACTAATATTGAACACTGGATTTAAGGGACTAAATTTTATACAGTTCTTTCTGAACAACCCCATGTAGCATTTTTTAGACACCGTTGGACCGCTGGATACACATTACTCCTGCAAAGGATGGGCGTCGCATCCGCGAACAACATGTTAGACGCCTACATCAAAGTCCTCACGGATGGTTTTGAGGCGACGGATGGGAAGGCCTTCTCGGAAGACGAGCCTGACACGGACATGACCAAAGTTACCGTCTTTTCGAAGATCGATTTCTCCTCGCTGAGGGATCCGCGGAACGCCAGACTCGAGGGGCTAGTCTTCCGAGCCGTTATGAACGTGGTCGTGCGGAACCGGTCGCACATGTTCTTTGCTGAGTTCGTTGATGCTGTCACCCTTGGCTTTGCTCGCGTGACGCCAGAAGAGGGTCTTGTCGATTTCTCAGACCAAACCGAGTCGGTCAAGCAATTACCCCAGCGCGTCGACGAGCCTCTTGTTGTGACGGCTGCACTGCATTACTTCCTCTCTCATCCCGTCCGTTCGATGCGAGACTTTGTCGCAGGGCCCATACAAGGTGTTGAAGAAGCATCTACTCTCGAGTTCGCTGTGGAGAACATCGTGACGATCGCACTGGCTCGGGTTTTCAAGGATGGCGCTGCGTCGTTGTCTGACGCCTTCACTCTGAATAAGAGCGACGGACAGGCTTGGCTATCGGAACCAGTGCATCTTGTTTCTATCATATAGGACGAACCACTGACGGCACTTTCCTCTTCGAAGACCCTGGTTTCGGTCGGCGTGCGGTCTCGTTACTAGGCTACGAAGCCTCCAGCCCTGAGGCAGTCCATGACTGGTTGAGATGCGCGAAGAGCATCTTCTGCTTTCCGGATGCGAAGATGGGTGCTCATATCATGTTCCTCGTGAGATGTGGTGTTCAACTCGTTTGGGTGTTGGTCCAAGTGAAGTGTCTCACAGTTGAAGCACTTACCACCAGGGAGACAAATTTCCGCAGTGTCGATCCCGGCAAGTCCTATCGTGCAAGGGTAGGATTTATATATACTCGATGTATTTGCTAATGCTAACGCGATTGGCATGTGCCTTTCGCAGGACGGACGACCATACTCTCTTGAGTCTCGACAGGGTCTTACCGAAAAGACTCGAAAACTTATGAACGTCCCCAGTACTCCAGTGGTGCGATTAGTGGTGTCGTTTCCTGCTGAGCCGCACGTGGACATTCCAGAGGAAGCAGGGTCAGCAGAAGAAATCGTTGGGACATTTGATAGGTTGGTGGAAGATGCAGACAGAGTTCAGTGAGACTTTGGCGATCTTAAGCGCGTGCATGCCGAAGTAACAGCTGGCGTTACTATGTCCTCTATTCTGCATCCTACGCGGTGGTTTCCAGGTGTCTCCTGCGCTGTACAAGTAAAGTCATGTCTCGTGATGAGCCCGGGCTGCAGCAACCGATGCACCAGATATCGCTTTGCATGCCCTCGCTCCCCGCACTGCGTTGCCCAAACATGCCTCTGTACATGCATACCCATCTCGGACGGGCCGTATTCTCTTTTGTCGTGAGTATAGTTGCAACACACGGTGCGCTCTACCTACCGCGTTGCTGTTCTCATCTCATGCCTGTTGCTATTCAGGAAACCGATCCCAATTGCTGGTTGTCTCGCGCTCTCGCGCGTCGTCCCGTTACCCCGACTGCGCGCGGCGAGTTCGCTATCTGTTCATTGCCTTCCTTTCTGGCGGAACGCGGTTTTGCAGGAAAGCAAATGACGAGTAAGTCTCTGCCGGCCCGAGCCTTTTCGCTGTTGATTCATTCATGTAGGGATGTGTTTCAAACCAGCTCTGAGGTGCAGGCATATTTGCACGCGATATCGCAACTCGGACCAAAATTTTCCGTGCCACCCAGACGTCCCCAGACCGCATCAAGTTGATTCGGGTGACACATGGGCCCGGCATACCGCTCTTCCCTGGTCCAAGGACTACCTGCCACCGATGCAGCTTTGTAACGCAAGTACTGATCACTGCAGGATGGGAGTTGATTTCGTCTGCAAGGTTCATATTCTTGCGGGAGCGTGTACGAAGTATCCTCTGCGCGACTGAACGGGTCACTCACACCGGTCCTGCAATAGACAAGTCCGGGATCTGACGATGACTGGCGAGTCGGTGGTTCACAACGCTGAGCTTCAGTTGGGATTGCGTCGAGAACGGTATGATCGAACGTGAGTGATAAATGCATGAAGGTTTGAACTCGGTGACCAGTCTGATATATATATCTGGTTCCTAAATCATTTTTTCTCTGTGCTTGGGGTCCTCAGCCAATCGCCTCGACCATCAGCTCGCCTCTCGCGACAATTTTGCCGCTGTCACCGTGGCAGTCACGATCAATACCAGCGCCGCTGCACGTCTGCGTCAGTACTCACCCAGTTCGAATAGTCGGAACTTGACCATGATGATTGGCATGCCTAGGTCGGTGTGCTGCTGGGTAGAAAGGAGGTCCAAGATACGTATCGTACCGGATTCCCAGCCAACTTCTCTCGTTTGGTACTCCCGGCGCATGCAGTACGACTCTTAATTTCCGTCGCATCCCGGGAGGTCCGATTCGGACGCGTAGCGGGGGTGCAAGGCGCACAGTTTAGCACCGACGGCTCTGCTTTGGTTGCGACTCGAGCGGAGTTACCAGCTGACGCCATGGAATGATTCGACGCCGATCAGATGCCAGGAGTTTGGACATATCCGGCGGAGACTGGCAGCGGTGAGCATGAGGAGCACTTGCGCTTCGGCGAGAGTATCACCAGGACTGTCGGACAACCATGGCTGAATGCGCTGTTCGCTGCTCCCAAGTTGCTCGTATTTCCTCCGACGGAGGTGGCGCGTGTCCGATCCGAACATTATGGCGCCCGCATCGAACGGAGAATGGATGTCCGGTGAAACCGAGGATGGTGGCGCACAGCGATCATGCGGGGGAGTCGTCCGAAAAAGGGAAAGAAGACATCCTAAAAAGGCGCAGTAGATCGTCAGCTCTCCAACCTTGTCGTCCGCGATGGATCTATAAAGTCGCGCTCTGCGTTCGTCCTCCGCGGTCGCACCCCGCACTGCTCTCGCCATGTCTGCTCCGCTCAAAGTCGCGCGGCTCGTCTCGCTCGCGCTCGCCACCGCGTTCGGCATCATAGGCATGAGCGTCGGCATCGACGCCCTCGTCCAGTCCAACCGGCAGAAGAACAAGGTCCACCAGAGCGCACCTGCCGGCGTATCCGTGTCCATCCACACCTCCGACGTCTTCGACTCGGGCGTCGTCAACACCGTCGTCTGCGCCCTCCTCGCCGTCGTCTCCTTCTCCGCCCTCGTTACCACCCTCGTCTCCGCCTCTGCGCGCCGCACGTCCCGCATCTTCGCGCACATCCTCCTCTTCCTCTCCGTCTGGCTCTTCGCCACCCTCGTGCCCTTCACCGACTTCGTCGCGAACCGCCAGGCCAATGTCTCCGCGACGCTCGACGGCATCGCCCTGCCCCAGAGCGTCATCCAGGCCGTCCAGGCGCAGAGCGGCGTCACGGGCATCTACCACGAGGTTTTGTACCGTGAGTGGTCTCTCCCCCTTGCAGGTACTGCGCTGACCGTCTCCGCTACAGTCCGCCTCGCGACGGTATTCCCGTGGATCGCGTTCCTTTTCGGCGGGCTATCTGCGGTCTTGTCGTACACCACGGAGCGCAGTGCCGACTCTGCGCGTTACCCGCTCGTGGCCGGCGGCAGGGCGGGTTCCATCAGGGACGTAGATGACAAGCGGAAGGAGGGGGAGAAAGTGGGCGTCCAGCAGGTATAATCGTTCGTGGACCGGGGCGCGCGGTCTCTCAATTCCCTTTTTTTTTAATTCTTGACGTGAGGCAGATTGCAAGAGGGCTCCGAGGGCCTGCTGAGTCGTTTGGCCCGCCCGACGATTTGTGCGCGCCGAGCGGTGCGCAGATGGACATTTATTTTACGATCAGGATTTGTTAATGTACCGCAGTGTCATGAGCGCAAGTATTTCTGTATATACCTGTCAGACTCGTCCGATCATCGCGGTCTGTATTAAGGGATTTCGAGCCGTGTTGCAGGTGTCTGTTGCGCTAATAGAAGCAAGGCTACTTAGAAAGCTAAAGGCGCGCCTCCGCACTTCCCAAGGCGATCAGCTCCTGTAGATTTTACCTGGCGGTGGACGTCAGCAATGTCGCGTAAGTATCGACCACCTGGCGCATTAACATCGAAAGTGTATAGTTCGAACATGGTCGACAACTTGAACTGATGTGCGTTCAGCTCTCAATAACGTCCTAATGGTGGTGAATTTGTGCAGCTACCCAGTGAGTCCTGCAGCATTGAATGATTCTCTAACTGGTTCCATCGAACTTCCATGTCCTTCAGTCAGCGAACAGAGCCCGGAATGCTACATGCGCCTGGGCATCTTTTCCCAGCATGTTCAGGCGAAGGCTGGCGGGCAGAACCATATCTTTGACTCTCAGGCAAGCCGAATTCGCAAAACTGGTAATTTACTTCAAGGTCGAGCGCGGAACGAGATCTTCGCTGGATACCTCTATACCGTGGCAGCGCCCTTCGTTATCCCCAACATTGATGACTTCCCAGATATGACCTCCTTCGACCTTCCCAACGACGCGTTCTTCGCGTGGGACGACCCTCATGACGAAAAAAAGACACAAGACTTTATCACATACAATCGATCTCTCTGCCAAATTTGAGCAATCGTGCCTTCAGCGCGAATGATGTCCTCAATGCTTTCTACACATCCTGCGGCTACGATCAGTGAGGAATTCATCATGAAGAATGACAGTGTGCACGCAAAAGACTTCATAGGCATAGATACCACAGCCAAATACAGCAATTCGCTCACTGGAACCATGGCTATCGCAGGCGCGCGACAGTGCTGACATAGCCGAGGTACGCACCGCGCATCTGGAAGTAACGAGATATCACAGTGGAAGTTTCACATAGCTTGGCGAATAGTGAGTCCATCTCATCATCACAGTCCGAAGAAGTGCAGAGTCGATAAGGCTGGGTTTTGTGCTTTTCACAGAAAATAGAAGACAAACGCATAAGGAGGAAACTTTTGTCGCGGGTGATGGCGAAAGACCCTGGCGAAAATGCGAAGGGAGCTGTGGAAACGCTGCGCGGTCGCCTCTGCAATTCCGTGACGCACAGAGCAACTGGATACTAGCTTGAGACATATACTGCGGTAAATCGCAGAGCAGAGATATGCTTGGCAAAGGTGGAGAAGTGAGACTACTTGACGAACTTGAAAGCAGAGAAGAACGCCAACCCTAACCACACAACAGGTTTCCCACGACTGTAATCGCCATATTCACGCAGATTTCTCCATGGTTTGCACCTTCGGCGGTAGATTGCACTAGCTAGCCGCTTGAATCGAGAGACAATCCAACAAGCTGCAAGTCCTCCTCTGGCCTCAGCGGTGGTGCCGCCTACCCACCGCAATTTCCGGTAAGAGTTCGGCGAGTGCCTGCGTACGGCCCTACTGTGCTGATTGCTCTGGGAAAAGCGTGCTGGCGTAGATTCTCGATATGATGTGAACGCGCACCGGAGGAAGCTTCCAAATGTACGCACCATAATCTCTGGCTCGGTGTGGTTGCGATCCAAACAGATCCGCGGAGTCGCATGACCGCGCTATGCGATAACTGGCGGTGCCCGAACACGACCGCACTCGATGCGCTGTGGGGTATTCTGCAGCTCTTAGATGTATTTCCTCGTTGCGGGTGCGGAGAGCGCATCGTGAATTATTTTTGAAGCGGCATGTGCGTGTGGAATTCAAGTTGAATGGGCTTACATACCCGAAGTGCTACGCGCCTCTCGGACACTGTAGACGAATGACTATGGGCTGTAGGTCTAACTGTTGCCCTCTGCGGGTGACCTCTTATGTGCAATCCAGCCTTCGAAGGCGTTCCTCCCGCACGAAGCAAAGTGCACGGCCAATTTCGTGTCTGAGGCAGATGTAGCCACTGGTATGGGACGCGTCGGGAATCAAGAACCGACGTGCGCCTCTTCTACTCTTCTAATCTATCCCACTTCGACACTCACACCACTCTGCGCAAATGCAGATTCTCAAGGCCTCTCGGTGGACTTCACGACGAACATGCTGTAGGCCCTTCTCTAGCCGCTTACTGTACAGGACTGCGGCCTGGGCGTAGAGAATTCGCGGTACAAGCCCCTGCTCGTGTTCGACTCGTCCTCTCTCCGGAGGTCGCAGGCAAGTCGGCCGTCGTACTGCTGACGCCCAAATCCGGGGACGACCTGCCGCTGGGTTATGTCCAATTACAAGTGAGTAATGACCGGATTGGCTGCAGGTATTAGACTACTTCTGAGTGGAGACCATCGATACGCAGGCAGATCCGTTCGACGTCAGTGGCTCGTTGGATGTTAATACGCCGTTCCCAATCTTCCCGGGTGCACGATCATCGCTGAAGAACGAATTTATGCGGCTCTGAGTCGCTTCAACACGTGAGTTTCAGACGCAGTGTTCTGATTTCATGGACTCGATGTCAAATCCCAAGCTTTATGGATGCCCCGCCCTCGTCTTTCATCTCGCCATGCAGCCCGGACCTCAACCCGAACAGTGAAGATTTTTCTCTGGAACTACACAAGCCAGCCCGCTGCTGCCCATCCGGAATTTTCCCTCAGCTAGTAATTGAAGAGAAGTGGTTAGATATTTGTCATGGCTGCTTCTCCGATGCGAGCAGGTCCAGTCGTCGTCGGTCGGGGCGCGCGTCTGCACTTCACAGTATAATGGGATTCGGCTGAGTAGCTAGTGGCCTCTCACGAATGACTACTTGGTGGTTGCGATCAAGGTGAAGTTCGATTACTGATTCTCGCATAATTGGCTTGTAGAATCGGCCGTTAATTTCTGTGATCCACCCTAGGTGCGCTGAGGGCCTAAGCGACCGCGGCTATTCATTCGAGGATATGGTTAGCTCGCCAAACGAGCTGTACTCCTCCATCGCAGGAAGGTACGCCTCTATCATCGTCTTTACAAACGTATACTCTGACCGCGTTCCCAACTGTAGGGATGCAGATCTTGAGCGCGAGTTTTCCTGGAATAATGTCTGAGCACGAACGTTATCGCGTCGCTGGAGTGAAATTCGACGCTATCGTATGAGGCGACATATACAGATGTGGCGGTGGTATCCGAACCACGCTCCGGGCTTACCCCGGCTGGAGCATCTCTGCGGCGCGAGGAGAGCTGAAGCAGGACGTTCATATGCAGAGTACCTGGAATCCACTACCCTTCGCAGCTATGATGTTCACCTTCATTTCTTTAGGTCGCGCCCATATGAGTGTTCTGCAGACAGACCAGCCACTGTGGCGCAGGTATGGTGCTCTCCATCGACGCGCACGCATCCCGTTAAGAAGACTTTGACGTGTTCCAAGTGACCGCCGTCCAGCTCAACGGGACGTCGGAAGCTGGGAAGAGCAGCGCAGTAGGCGGCTGCAGCGCTAGTCGTGCGTCGTGCGTGCTCCTATATGAATATGCGTACGCTGACCGCACCCGCCGCTGAATGCGCACAGACGGTAAATGCTCACACACACTTCAATTTGGCCCCACGTGATGGCCGTACAGATACGGACAATAATGACGGCCATCCCACACGAGCAGGACCCTGCGATCCGGCCTCATATATGTAAGTACATAAGCAGATCGCGATTTGTGCTTTTCTTTCCCCACAGACTCAAGTGCCTCCGTCACATTCTACCCACGGTTTCTTCTCGTATACTATTACATCCGAGGCGCAAACCTGGCAATACTGTCTTTGTGCGTCACGCACGTAAGGCAGAGTACGGCACCTTGGGCTCGTTGACGATGCTGCTCTCCAGTAGCATCTAATTCTGCCGTCTTGACAGATGCGACTTATCTCGATCGCAGCTCTGCCTCCTTCAAGCCACACTAGTACAAACCTACCTTGGCGGGCTATAGGCACCCTGTACCACGCGTGTCCCCTGACGTTGCGAAGGCGAAGCTCTTCACTTCCAGGATTGATTGCTGAGGTGATTGAGGGAGCGTCGCATGCGTGGGCCGCAGAGGGAATTTAACGAGGAAGTGTGGACGTACGTGCTGTGCCGATCCACTTGTCTCCAGAAGCGCTGACTCGCTCACTGCAGTAGAATATACGATCCCCCTCGATACAACTTGGACTCGGTTCCTCTGGCTCGTTTTCCCCAGTGCGTGAATGCGCTACAGCCCCGGCGTTGCATAGCGTACATAGTCGAGGGCTTCAGACCCGGATTCCTTATGGCATCGGACGTCAGCACCGACAATGCTTGTGCAGAACCGTTCTGGTTGGCCGGGTCAAACATTGCATACAGCATGCATTCCAATTCTCGATGTCTGGATATCGCCGATGTCTATCTGTCTCTGGTTCCCTGTGCTACACTTGTAGCAGGCGTCTACCGCCATTCTCGATCATCTGCGCTGCAGTGCACCCGCTCATCCCTCTGGACGTCTTCGCAAGAGTACAGTATACCTACCACATGCTTGCAGCGGTCTCCCACGACATTCGGACGTTCCTGCACTGGCCGTAGTCTCTGATCGCGCAAGATTGGGAACTCTCCCTGGCGGCGGTGGATTCGACGGCGTGTATCGCACTAGCTACCTCTAGGCCCCTTTTTTATGGCAGTGTACGTGAACTTGATATTATGTTTTCGTCTGCATGTCTAATGGTGGCCGTAGCAAAACCCGGTCGAAGACGCCAGCGGAGCCTACGTTGTGCCTTTTTTGTCGGGAAGCACGACAGGGAACTCAAGGATCCTCGACGGCTGCACCGCAAAGCACGCCTATCTACGCAAGAAGTGAAGTTCCGTAAAGCCTTGGTTTGCCATTGTCGAGGGAGTGCGACGTAGGCAATTCGCTCCGCTTCGCACTGGGAGCCGCGATGAAGTTGCACGACGAGTCGATGGGGATAGTATTCTTTTTTAGTTTATTCGTGTCATATAGCCTTCCGACAATAATGGTTCTTTCGACACAGCGAAATCATAGCGATATGATTGTGCTCCCTGGCTTTACGGTCATAATGGCATCCAAGGGACTCGAATTTAGCGCGTCAGAAATGATCACGTGCAGGTCATGTGATCGCGAAACCTCATTAACACGCGTTCGTAACCACAGTATCAGGCTTGCAAAACCAGGCGGGTACATCGCAGAAACGCAAGCAATTTCACGCAGACATGGGCAGCCAAACTCGACAAATCGATTAGGGTGGAAGAAAATGTAGTCCCGCTGCAACACCTCAACACATCCCACGCATCCTTCCTATCCGAAGACCACCTTAATTTTGGCCATAAGCTCCTGGAGGTCGACCTCAACAACGGGTCGCGCGTTCGCACTGTGTGCCTTTCTGGGGTTCGTCACGTCCACACTGCGGAGACGTAACATAGTAAGACACGGAAACATAGATGTAACTTCCGATACCTTGTCTACCTCCTGAAATTCGCACTCTGTCAGACAGAGTGTCGGAATGTTCTTGTACCCCTGCGCCAACTTGGACAGGTCATCTCTAGATATGGCGTGCGTGTAATTATTTATGTACAGGACATTAGAATCGCACCGGATTTTGAAGCTATCCGTCATATTGTAAGAGAGTACTGTGAATGTCGTGGATCCTTTCGCAAATTCTGCAATAAGGAGTCAGTTTCGAGCAGGTTTAAGCTCACCTGTAGCCAAAAACCCAAATTCTGACAACACCACAACGCAAAAACTGCCCAAACTTGATAAATTCTGCTACGACTACCCGATGCCACAAGTAACTAGCGAGCGCTCAGTACTATTGGGGAGCAATTGACCGCACGTACGACGGCCGACACTTGCTACTTGATATCAATGAGTCTAACGGTAATGTTAGGCGCGAAAATACGGCGGACGGGAGGAAACTCACCGCGCGGAGATGGGGGTAGAGGCGAAGCGGGAGAGGAGGAAGGCAGAGGCGCCCAGCCGGATTTTGCCATGCGCGTGACGCAGATAAACTCCGAAAACCCCGCCTCAAGAGTATACCAAACATCATCGAACGTCGAGGAGGGGGCCCGGGGGTGGTACGCTCGCCGCGGAAGAGATAAACGAGCACACTTACTTCCATGTGAGCAGGTAACCACCATCCTATCCAGCGCATCCCCCGCCCTCATCCCGCCGCGCGGCACGACCTCCCTCCTCCATAACCCATCGCGCTGCGAACGGCAGCCTCCTCCTAGGCTGGGGACGCGTAAATCACTTGTGCCATCGATGGGGAGCCTTGCTGGGGCGATATCAAGGCTAGGGCATCGCCAGAGTGACTAGAAGAATGCTCATTGCGCAGAGAAAGGCGTAGCAGAGCCGCGAAAGAACAAAGCCAGTAGTACAGCAGGCATCCAAGGGGAGATGGAGGAGGGGGAAAGAGAGAAGAGGGAGTAGTGGAAGGCGGTATGATACCATCATACAAGCTCGCTAAGCTTTGATCGATGATCTCCGGAGTCTATATCATGCGACTTCGCAGCAGGCGCCGCGCGCCCGAGCCAGACCACTGTGTGCCCGGAAGTTGGTGAAAAGCCCGAACTTCGTTCACTAGATATCTTCGGAGGTATTACTACTTTACATATGGAATGTCACTAGGTTTTCGAGGGTCTACTATCTTGTTTCACCAATTTTCTCGGTGAGCGAAAGCGGTAAAAATCACCCAGAAAATGTCCGATTTCACTACCTTGCGTCGAAAGGCGAGTCGTGAGAACCCGGTTGTTTATTGTTGATTTCTACTAGGTTCCGCTCAATCACTGAATTCACTACCAGAAACATTGAATATAGATTCAATTCCAGTACATATATACAGATCTAGAGTTCCGGTAATATATAGCAATGAACACATACATCCTACGCTCCCTCGTAATTTGTGAAACAACGTCTGCCTAAAACCACGTCCGCCTAAAACCATGTCTGCCTAAAACCATGTCCGCCTAAAACCGCGCTCTGCGCTGCACAACAGAGCCGTCTGCTGGGACTGGCATAGGATGACATCAGAATACCGTAGCAAGGCCGGGAGGTCACTCGTTGCGTCAAAATTTGCACATACCTGTCTGTTGTTTGCCATGGTAAGGATTGAACCTTCCCCAGAGAGCAAGCCATGGAGCCCAGCAGACGAGACAACACCAGAGATCAATTTGACTAAGCCAGTCCAGATTAGCCGGCCCGAGCAGAGCGCTGGAAAGTGCAAAGCTAGAGACAGTGTTGAGCGATGCCAGCGCACGACGAAGCTCGACGACGCCATGTTGAAACTTGAACATTTAGGGCAGGGTTGATTGGACTTGGTAGTTTAACGCAACAGAAAATCACCAACAAGTAGGTGGTGAATTCCCGAACCGTTTCGACGCGGATCGTCGTTGGTGAATTTCACTACCATTCTCGGTGGATCAGAAATCAGGGGAAATCACATCCAAATCACTATCCACTAATTAATGCCGAAGTTTATTGGTGAAAGGCGGTTTTCACCGAATAAGTTCAGACAGTTCACCACTTCTCAGGCACACAGTGGACCGTCAATGTCCTCGAGGGTCGGTTTATGAATAATAATTTTTTGACCGTTCCATATCAGTAACAGGGCTATTTATCGTCTTGCTCTCTCTGAGCTCTCGTTGTGAGGCCCTCTTGTATTTTTTTTGGCAAGCACTGTCTCCAGCTTATCGCGCACTTATCTGCTTGACGTACATTACATGCATTACACGTGTGCCTCGCGTCAGTGCGACTCGCGCACACACGGCGTCCAGCGCAGTCCATCTTCCGAAAATATCCTGCGATATATACATGGTGCAGCCAACGTGTAGACTTCTCGTCAAAACTTGCTGGCCCCAGTGTACTACATCGCAGGTATAACCTACACGAAAATATATTTCGCTGGTCTCTCTCTCTCTCTCTCAGATATTGGTACATCGTGCACAGGGTCCAAGCGACAACGCCGCCTTGCCTTCCTCTGCTGTTCCTCTTTCAGACGGTTCCGCAAACGCAGCAGATTCAGCGTCGGCTGTCGCGCGTCCAGCGTCGCACGCCGCCAGTTGGTGTCCGCAAAGACCGCGCCATCGCAGGTGATCCGACGCCAAGTATGCTCACCTTGGTGTGTCGTCCGACGATGCTGCCAGCGCACTCGTTCGATTTCGATCCACATTCGACGCCGGGCAGCGCGACGAGCCGGTCTGCGCCGCCGAGTGTAGTTCTGCCGCGCGAACGTGGAGCAGCGAAAAATCACATCCTGCATCACGAGAAGGCCGATGAGCAGAACATGCAACGAGCGCGGCGGTGGTGAGACGTACCGAGTGCAGTTAGCACAGCCAGCCATTCTTGACGGCAAACTGACAGAGTGGTGAGCGTAGGGAGGTCGACAAGCTGCAGAAATACGGACCTAGCGAGAATCCGACGAGTATGGAATGTGCTCGCGTGATACCGCGCACACGGCGGACGGACGGGTTGCGGGAAGGGGGGGAATGGAGAGCAGGAGGGATACGAGGATTTCCGCAGCGGTTCGATGCAAGTAAAAGCACTAAATGGTGGTAAGAAAACAGGACTTACTTCCCGCACCCAGGCGCACGCGTAGACATCAAAGGTTGAGCACGGAACGCGAAGTCGGGAAGTCGGGCGCTATACCTCGCGAGATATGTACTATCAGTATGAGCGGCGACAGACACCCATCAACAACCTTTCGTAGTCCACCTACCGCTCATTCTCGAGGGAGCCCGCGGGGAATAGCTGAGTGACGAGGCAGCGGCGCTTCCTCCCCCACACCAAGCGAGAGCGGGGACCGAGCCGGCCGTATACGCCCCTCCTTACCCGTCCGTGCGCCGCCGCGAAAGAGCGTGCGGCAAACGGGGGTCGCGGCCGGAACGGCCGCCCGCGCACGGCGCGCGAAAAGAGACGGGACGGTACCCACGCACGATCGACCGAGCTCTCCGCCCACGGCATATAAGTTGCGCCTTTGTTGTCGGGATCGGGACGCACGCCAGAGGAGGATCCTCGAGGTCTTGCATCCCGACGCACGCCTGCTCGCGCGGGAGAGAGATTGCGTAAAGTTCCGGGTGACATACCAAGTCACACCGTCGAGTCCGCGCGACACGGGCAGCTCGCAATGCGGATGGGGATGGCGCGGAGAGTTCATGTAGCGCCTATTGTAATTAGTTGGTTCAGAAGCGCGTTACCTCGACCCGGCCGATCTGCCGGTGCTACGCTCCCTCACGGTCGGTTGGTCAGAATGCGCAACGAGCGCGGTGGCGAGACGTACCGCGCGCAGTGCATGGTGTATAGCGCATCGCACAGCCATTCTTGACGGCGAACTGACAGCGCGGTGAGCGTGCGTGGGGCCACAACCTGCGGAAATAAATGCTGACCTAGCGAGAATCCGACGAGCGTCGAACGTGTTCGCGTGATACCGCGCACATGGAGGACGAACGTGGTGCGGAAAACGGGGGAATGGACAGCAGGAAGATACGAGGATTCCTACGGAGGTCGGCGGAGCGGTTCGATGCAAGTAAAAGCAATAAATATCGGTAAGGAAACAGGACTTACTTCTCGCAAACCAAGCGCACCCGTAGACATCAAAGGTCGAGCACGGAACGAGAAGTCGGGAGCTATACCTAGCGAGATATATGCTATCAGTCGCACAGACTGGACAACGATGATAAACCATATGAACAGTGACAGACACCCATCAACAAACTTTTGTCCTTCACCTACCGCTCAAGTATTCTCGAGCGAAACAGTGGATGGACAGTCGAAACGACGGAGATATCCAAATGACGAAGCAGCAGAGCTTCCTTTCTCACAACAAGCGAGAGCGGCGACTGAGCGTGTGCAAACGTGAGCTCGAATCATTTGGCCGTATCTGCTGACTTATTCATTGGCGCGCCGCTGCATAAGAGAGTGCATTCGTTGGGTCGCATCCACCACTCGCCGCCAGAATATTAGCCTACAATCACCGCCCACGCACTCAGTAGGTACGCATACACGCAAGAGACGCAAGACTTTACCACGCATGATCGATCTCTCTGCCTAATTGGAGCATTGTGCCTGCAGCATCAATGAGGTCCATAATGTTTTCTAAGCATCCTGCGGTTAAAATCAGTGAGGAAAAGGAGTCTTCATCATGAAAAATAACAGTGTGCACGCGAAAGGATGTGGAGGAATAGATACCGAAGCCGAGTACGGCAATTCACTCATTGGAACCATGGCTATCCCAGGTACACGACAATGCTGAAGGCAACGCCATGACGCACAGAGCAACTGGATGTAGTAGCTTCATCTGCAAAGGTGATTTTCTTACTGTAGAACCGTCTCTTCTATGTAGTCCTCGGTAGAACTGCCCACCTACAGAGTGCTATGTAGGACCGCGTAGCAAAGTGATCGCTACATAGGACTCTGTAGATATTCGGTATCTAGAGTGGCGGGCCGACTGCTTATTCTTCCCGCGAAAACGTTCTCGCACTCCTATTCCGATTCCCGGCCACAGACACTACCCCCGCAGTCTGTGTCGTGCTCAAAAGCTCGACTCAGTCCTTACCTTCCGGCCCTAAACAAGCTTGAAGACTTATGTATGACCCGCCGCCGTTCACTACTCTGTCACTTAAGCATATCCTCTTTCTTCGTCTCTTTTTCCACTCCCCATTGCTAACCTTGGTGTACAAGAAACACTATACCACAGACTAGGAGGCATACTCAGTGACGTGCTCTTAGGTCTAACACCGGTGCCGTTGAGGATCTGGCAACCATGCGACTTCTGGAAGAACTTACCGCTGTTGATAGTTGACTTCATTGTGATGGAGGTGGAGTGAGGAGTTTTGTAGAGCTGCAGAGTTGAGGGTATTAGAGTATGTAAAACTATAGCGACCGTGCCGACAAAAGGACCACCATGTCTCACCGTCGTTGTAACATCACACCACTCTTTCAATATAATTGATTGTCCATATCGTATTTTTCAAACCCGGTGATATCCTGAAATGAAGTTGCTGAGAGCCAATGGGCGTGTGCATGCGTGCCTATCTAGGAATCGTGCTAACTGTAAAAGGGATTCCTAGCCGATCCTACAGACCTACAGCTCCTACGCGAGCCTACAGCTCCTACAGTCCTCGGAAACTACAGCCCTCGCAAGGTCTACGGTAGAAAACCCTGTTCTATAGAGTCCTACATAATTCGGGACATTGCTACAGGCCTCTTGGTCCTACGCGAGCTACATAGCACTACATAGGTATTGTTCTTTTTCCTGATGTTGAGACAGACAATGAGGAAAATCAGAGAAGAGAGATATGCTTCGAAAATATCTCAGGCCGGATAGGAACTGCATGAAGCAGGGACGCCGTGCTGTGAAGTGCAGGAACAACCCTAACCACACAGCAGGTTTCCCACCACTGTAAACGCAAGAGGCAGGCAAGATGTAAATCGGGGACACTGACCTCTTTTCAAATTCCAGCCACCGTACTTTGTTGCTCGTATGCTCATGAAACTTCTCTCGGAACTCGACGACTATCCCATTTCTGCTATCCCGGAGCACATCCCGAGAATAATGATGTGAGTGGTGTGCCATAGCCCGTTCAAAATGCCATCGGAGTTCTAAATTCCCTCACCTTTAGCGCCGCAAACCTTTCACCTTTATCGTCCCGCCAACTTAGCCCCGATAACAAATCTGACATAGATGACCTATCTATAATATCATAGTGTAAAAGAAGTCTATGCGGTCTGATCTTGCATCTGAGGAAGTGGTAAGGAGCCAGGTAGCCATCAAAACTAGCCGGAGGTCAGTGTCTGGGATTCTTATCTTGCCTGCCTCTTGCCACGTAGATTTCTTTATGGCTTACACATTCGTCGGCAGATTGTACTGGCTGGCCCCTTGAATCGAGAAACAATCCAACAAGCTGCAAGTCTACCTCTGGCCTCAGCGGTGGTGCCGCCTACTCACCGCAATTTCCGGTAAGAGTTCGGCGAGTGCCTGCGTATATTGTGCTGATTGCTTTCGGAAAAGCGTGCTGGGGTAGCTTCTCAAATTCATGTGAACGTGCACAGAAGAAGGCTTCCAACTGTAGGCACCTTAATTTTTGGCTTGGTGTGGTCGCGATGTAAACGGATCCGCGGAGTCGCATGACGGCGCTATGCAATAACTGGCGGCGCCCGAACACGACCGCACTCGACGTCCTGTGGGGTATTCTGCAGCTCCTGGATGTATTTCCTAGGTGCAGGTGCGGAGAGCGCATCGTGAATTATTTTTGAAGCGGCATGTGCGTGTGGAACTCAAGTTGAATGGGCTTACATACCCGAAGTGCTACGCCCCTCTACACTGTAGACGAATGACTATGGGCTGTAGGTCTAACTGTTGCCCTCCGAGGTGACCCATTATGTGCAATCCAGCCTTCGAAGGCGTTCCTCCCGCACGAAGCAAAGTGCACGGCCAATTTCGTGTCTGAGGCAGATGTAGCCACTGGTATGGGGCGCGTCGGGAATCAAGAACCGATGTGCGCCTCTTCTCCTCTTCTAATCTATCCCACTTCGCCGCTCACACTGCTCCGTGCACATTGCAGATTCTCAAGGCGTCTGAGTGGACTTCACGACGAACATGCTGTAGGCCCTTCTCCAGCCGCTCACATGCAGGCCGGCGACTTGGACGCAGACAATTGGCGGTACAAGCTCCTGCTCTGGTTCGACTCGTCCTCTCTCCGGAGGTCGTAGGCAACTCGGCCGTCGTACTGCCGACGTCAAAGTCTGGGGACGACCTGTCAATCGGCTAGGTCCAATTACAAGTGCGTAAAGACCGGATTAACTGCAGGTGTTAGACTGCTTCCGATTGGGGATTATCGATAAGCAAGCAGATCTGTTCGATGTCAGCGGCTCTTGGATGTTAACATGCCGTTCTCAATCTTCCCGGGCGCATCATCTCGCCCGGTAGTGTGCTCAACGGGACGGTCACCGGCCTCGCGCGTGAAGGTAGTCATCGCCTATCTCATCATCGCTGAAGAACGAAACAATTTCATGCGGCCCCGGTGTGCGTCTCATCCACAATTTTCTGATTTCGTGGACTCGAACGTTAAATCCTTGGCTTTATAGAACGCTCCTCTAAGCAGAGCCTTCCCTGAAGAGTGAATGCCATAGGAATAGTGGATGTTGCTCTGTCGTTGTTAAAATAATGACATCGCTCTGAGCTGAACAGAAACCAAACTTTGCATGACGCTGTTCGTGTTTCTCTGGATCCACACAAGATAGCTCGCTTCTGCCCATCCGGAATTCCCTCAACTACTACTTGAGGAGAGGCGGTCAGATACTTATCATGACTGCTTCTCCGATGCGAGTAGGTCCAGTTGTTATCGATCGGCGCGCATCTGTACTACAAAATATAATGGGATTCGGCCGAGTAGCCCATCACGAACCATTAGTTGGTGGTCGTGATCAAGGTGAGGCTCGATTACTGATTCTCGCATAATGCGCTTGCAGAATCGGCCGTTAATTCCTGTGATCCACCTTAGGTGCGCTGAGGGCGTAAGCGGCTGCGGATATTCATTCTAGGTTATGGTTAGCTCGGCAAACGAGCTGTACTCTTCCATCGCAAGAAGGTACGCCTCTATCATCCTCTTTACAATCTTGTACTCTGGCCGCGTTTCCAGCTGTAGGTAGATGCGGATCTTGAGTTGGAGCGCGAGTTTTGCTCGAGTTTTGCTGCAAGAATGTCTGAGCACGATGGTTATCGCGCCGCACGAGTGAAATGCGACGCTATCGCACGAGGCGACATATACACATGTGGCAGTGGAATCACCGTTCCGGGCTTACTCCGGCTGGAGCATCTCTGCGGCGCGAGGAGAGCTGAAGCAAGATACCCTTCGCAGCTATGATGTTGACGTTCTTCGTTTCTTTAGGCGGCGCCCATATGAGTGTTCTCCGTCGACGCGCACGCATTCGGTTGAGAAGACGTTGACGTGTTCCAAGTGACAGCCCGGGATGCCGGAAGCTGTGAAGAATAGCGCAGTGGGTGGCTGCAGCGCTGCTCGTGCGTCGTGCGTGCTCCTATATGAAAATGCGTATGTTGATCGCGCTCGCCGTAGAGCACGAACGGTGAATGCTCACGCGCATACTTCATTCTATGGAGTTCCGCCTGACGGCCATCTCACGCGAGCGGGACCCTGCAATCCGGCTTCATATGCTTTCCTTTCCCCATAGACTCCAGTGCCTCTGTCATATTCTAGCCTTCTCGTATGCTAGGCGCGAAACTGACAACGCTGTCTTTGTTCTCCTTGCACGTAGGGCGGCGTACGGCACCTTAGGTTCGTTGACGATGCTGCTCTCCAGTAGCATCTCATTCTGCAGTCTTGACAGATGCGACTTATCTCGATCACAGCTCTGCCTCCTTCAGGCTACACTAGTACAAACCTACCTTTAAGGGCTACAGGCAGCTTGTACCGTGCGTGTCCCTCGACGTTGCGAAGGCGAAGCTCTTCGACTCCAGGATTGATTGCTGAGGTGATTGAGGGAGCGGCGCGTACGTGGGCTGCAGAGGGAATTTAACGAGAAAGGGTGGGCGTACGTGCTGCGCCGATCCACTTGTCTCCAGAAGCGCTGACTCGCTCATTGCAGTAGAATCTACGATCCCCCTCGATACAACTTGGACTCGGTCTCTCTGGCTCGTTTTCCCCAGCGCGTAAATGCGCTACGGCCCTGGCGTTGCATAGCGTGCATAGTCGAGCGCTTCCCGCCTGGATTCCTTATTGCGTCGGACGTCCGCGTCAGCACCGACAATGCTTGCGCAGAACCGTTCTGGTTGGCCGGGTCAAACATTGAATATAGCATGTATCCCAATTCTCGATGTCTGGATATAGTCGATGTCTATCTGTCTCTGGTTCCCTGTGCTACACTTCTATCAGGCGTCTATCGCCGTTCTCGATCATCTGCGCTGCAGTGCACCCCCTCATCCCTCCGGACGTCTTCGCAAGAGTACAGTATACCTACCGCATGCTTGCAGCGGTCTCCCATGACATTCGGACGTTCCTGCGTGCAAGGCTGGGGACTCTCCCTGGTGTTGATGGATTCGACGCCGTGCGGCTACCTCTCGGCTTTTATGGCAGTGTACGTGAACTTGATATTATGTTTTCGACTGCGTGTGAAACGTTGACCGTAGCAAGAACCAGTCAAAGACACCAACGGACTCTACGTTCAATGTTTTTGTCGGGATCAGGATGCACAACAGGAAACTCAAGGATCCTCGACGGCTGCACCGCCAAGCACACCTATCTACACAAGGAGTAACGATCCGTAAAGCCTTGGTTTGCCAAGCAACATTGTCGAGCACGTGCGACGTAGGCAACTCGCTCCGCTTCGCACTGCGGAGCCACGATGAAGTTGCGCGACGAGCCGGTGGGGATGGTATTCTTTCTTAGTTTATTCGTGTCATATAGCCTCCCGACAATAATGGTCCTTTCGACACAGCTGAGTCTCAGACCTCCAGTGGAGGTGATGTCTGCACATGCTGAATAGCAAGATTGGGCTCCGATCTGTTTCTGAACGAAAGCGAGCTGATAGCGATATGATTGTGCTCCCTGGCTTCACGGTGATAATCCAAGGGACTCGAATTTAGCGCGTCAGAAATGATCACGTGCAGGTCATGTGATCGCGAAACCTCATTAACACGCGTTCGTAACCACAGTATCAGGCTTGCAAAACCAGGCGGGTACATCGCAGAAACGCAAGCAATTTCACGCAGACATGAGCAGCCAAACTCGACAAATCGATTAGGGTGGAAGAAAATGTAGTCCCGCTGCAACACCTCAACACATCCCGCGCATCCTTCCTATCCAAAGACCTCCTTAATTTTGGCCAACAGCTCTCGGAGGTAGACCTCAACGAGGGGTCGCGTATTTTTACCCTGTGCCTCTTTGGGTGTTGTGACGTTCACACTGCGGGTATGTAATGCAGTTAGGTGTGGAAACATATCAATTAATTCGTCCACCTTTTGCAGATCTTCAAAGAGGCAATCTGCTAGATATAGCGTCTTTTCATTCCGATAACCTTTCACCAACTGCAACAGCTCAGCTCTGGGAAGAGTTTGCTTGTAGTTATTAATGTATACGGTATGAGACTCGCACCGGATTTCCAGCCTATCAGTCATATTGTAGAAGAACAGTGAATATGGTGTTCGAAACCTTGTGGTCTCTTCGCAAACTCTGCAATAAGGAGTCAGTTTCGAGCAGATTTAGGCTCACCTGTAGCCCAAAACCCAATATCTGGCAACACCACAACGCAAAAACTGCCCAAACTTGATAAATTCTGCTACGACTACCCGATGCCACAAGTAACTAGCGAGCGCTCAGTACTATTGGGGAGCAATTTGCCGCACGTACGACGGCCGACACTTGCTACTTGATATCAATGACTCTAACGGTAATGTTAGGCGCGAAAATACGGCGGACGGGAGGAAACTCACCGCGCGGAGATGGGGGTAGAGGCGAAGCGGGAGAGGAGGAAGGCAGAGGCGCCCAGCCGGATTTTGCCATGCGCGTGACGCAGATAAACTCCGAAAACCCCACCTCAAGGGTATACCGAACGTCACCGAACGTCGAGGAGGGGGCCCGGGGGGGTACGCTCGCCGCGGAAGAGATAAACGAGCACACTTACTTCCATGTGAGCAGGTAACCACCATCCTATCCAGCGCATCCCCCGCCCTCATCCCGCCGCGCGGCACGACCTCCCTCCTCCATAATCCATCGCGCTACGAACGCCAGCCTCTTGCCAGGCTGGGGAGGCGTAAATCGCTTGTGCCATCGATGGGGAACCTTCCTGGGGCGATATCAAGGCTAGGGCATCGCTAGAGTGACTAGAAGAATGCTGATTGCGCAGAGAAAGGCGTAGCAGAGCTGCGAAGGAACAAAGCCAGTAGTACAGCAGGCATCCAAGGGGAGATGGAGGAGGGGGGAAGAGAGAAGAGGGAAGAGCGAGTGGGAGGCGGTATGATACCATCATACAAGCTCGCTAAGCTTTGATCGATGATCTCCGGTGCCTATATCATGCGACTTCGCAGCAGGCGCCGCGCGCCCGAGCCAGACCGTCAATGTCCTCGAGGGTCAGTTTATGAATAATAATTTTTTGACCGTTGTAGTACAGAGCTATTTGTCGTCTTGCTCACTTTGAGCTGTCGCTGTGAGGCCCTCTTGTATTTTTTTTGCAAGCACCGTCTGCAGCTTATCGTGCGCTTATTTTCCTGACGTACATTACACGTGTGCCTCGCTTCAGTGCGACTCGCACACACGGCGTCCAGCGCAGTCCATCTTCCGAAAATATCCCGCGATATATACATGGTGCAGCCAACGTAGAGACTTCTCGTCAAAACTTGCTGCAGAGTGCTACGTTGCAGGTATAACTTACACGAAAATATATTTCGTTGATCTCTTGGTACATCACAGGGTCCAACCCACTACCCCGCCTTGCCTTCCTCTGCTGTTCCTCTTTCAGACGGTTCCGCAAACGCCGCAGATTCGGCGTCGGTTGTCGGGCGTCCAGCGTCGCACGCCGCCAGTTGGCGTCCGCAAAGACCGCGCTATAGCAGGTGATCCGACGCCGACTGTGTTCATCTTGATCAGTGTGTCGTCCGACGATGCTGCCAGCGCACTCGTTCGATTTCGGTCCACATTCAACGGCGGATAGAGCGACGAGCCGGTGTGCGCCGCACAGTATAGTTCTGCCGCGCGAACACGTACGGGCATCACGAGATGGCAGATGAGCAGTTGCGACTGAGAACGCGTAACCAGCACGGCGGTGAGACGTACCGCGCGCAGTGCATGGTGTATGGTGCATAGCACAGCCATTCTTGACGGCGAACTGACAGAGCGGTGAGCATGCGTGGGCCGACAACCTGCGGAACGCTGATCTAGCGAGAATCCGACGAGTGTCGAACGTGTTCGCGTGATACCGCGCACGCAGCGGACGAACGTGTTGCGGGGAACGGGGGAATGGAGAGCAGGAAGATACGAGGATTTCCGCAGAGGTCGGCGGAGCGGTTCAACGCAACAAATATCGGCGAGAAAACAGGACTTACTTCCCGCAACCCGGCGCACGCTAGACATCAAACGTCGAGCACGGAACGCGAAGTCGGGAGCTATACCTAGCGAGATATATGCGATCAGTATGAGCGGCGACAGACACCCATCAACAAGCTTTCGCCTTTCACCTACCGCTCATATATTCCCGAGGGAACCCGCGGGAAATATCTCAATGACGAGCCAGCGGCGCTTCCTCCCCCACACCAAGCAAGAGCGGGGACCGAGCTCGCTCGAGTCGGGCGTAACCCGCCTCCTTACCCATCCGTGCGCCGCAGTGAAAAAGCGTGCGTCAAACGGGAGTCGCATCCACCACTCGCCGCCGGAACGGTACCCTACAATCACCGCCCGCGCACTCAGTAGGGCGCGCAAAGGAGACAGGACTTTACCCACGCACGATCGAGCTCTCCGCCCACGATAAAAGTTGGGCCTTTGTCGTCGGAACCGGGACGCACGCCTGCTCGCGCGGGAGAGAGATCGCGTAAAGTTCCGGGTGACATACCAAGTCACACCGTCGAGTCCGCGCGACACGGGCAGCTCGCAATGCGGATGGGGATGGCGCGGAGAGTTCATGTAGCGCCTATTGTAATTAGTTGGTTCAGAAGCGCGTTACCTCGACCCGGCCGATCTACCGGTGCTACGCTCCCTCACGGGTCGGTTGATCAGAACGCGTAACGAGCACGGCGGTGAGACGTACTGCGTGCAGTGTATGGTGTATGGCACAGCTATTCTTGATGGCGAACTGACAGAGCGGTGAGCATAGGTGGGTCGATAGGCTGCGGGGGTGGTTGCGATTTGCTCGACCTGCTGAGAATCCGACGAGCGTCGAACGTGTGATACCGCGCACACGGCGGACGGACGGGTTGCGGGAAGGGGGGGAATGGTGAGCAGGATGAAGCAAGGATTTCTGCGGAGGTCGGCGGAGCGGTTCGATATGCAAGTAAAAGCACTAAATATCGGTAAGGAAACAGGACTTACTCTCCGCAACCCGGCGCACGCTAGCCATCAAACGTCGCGCACGGAACGCGAAGTCGGGAAGTCGGGAGCTGTACCTAGCGAGATATATGCTAATTAGCGCGCGCGGCGACAGCCACCCATCAACGTTCGTCGTTCACCTACCGCTCATTCTCGAGGGAGCCCGCGGGGAATAGCTGAGTGACGAGCCAGCGGCGCTTCTTCCCCCCCACACTAAGCGAGAGCGGGGACAGAGCCGGCCGTATACGCCCCTCCTTACCCGTCCGTGCGCCGCCGCGAAAGAGCGTGCGGCAAACGGGGGTCGCGGCCGGAACGGCCGCCCGCGCACGGCGGGCAAAAGAGACAGGACGGTACCCACGCACGATCGACCGAGCTCTCCGCCCACGGCATATACGTTGCGCCTTTGTTGTCGGGATCGGGACGCACGCCAGCGGAGGATCCTCGACGCACGCCTGCTCGCGCGGGAGAGATATGGCGTATAGCTCCGGGATATATACCAGGTAACACCGTCGAGCCCGCGAGGAGTCGTGTAGCGCCTGTTGCGATGAGATAGTTCGGAGGCGCGCCTCGTCGCGCGTTAACGTTTTAACCTCGGCCGAGCGGATCTGCGGGTGCGTGCTACGGGTCTGTAAACCACTGGCATTGGGGGGGGCATCCATCTGCAATAAGGAGGGCTGTCGAACAATGAGCCGCGCGTGAATACTTGAGTGCGCGAAGGACAGAGCAGGCCGTACCAGACTCGATCACGGGTTCCTCCTGAGCGAACGACGTGGACGGGCAGGAACTTGAAGAATAATGACGAGGGACGCAACACACACGCGTTGCGGACGTCCTCCATCCCATGTCCAGCCTGAAGCTTGAAGCTTGAAGCGTCGCTAGAGCTCCCGCATACGACGAGTAGTACGACGTTCATCACGACACCGTTCGCAGCTACCGGGCACCGTCCCTACGCCGACCAGCCCGCTCAAGCCTAAGAGCGTGGTGCATCGCCTGGCGCCGGAGTTGGGGGATAGACCGGAGAAAGCGGCGGGGGTGGGAGCGATGACCCACGGGTGCTTGTGATGTGGCAGAGGCCCGAGGACCTACGCCCGGCGGATGGTCCGCTGGCTCCTTAACACAGAAGAACGGAATGTGGGCGACAAGGAGCGCGAGTTATTGACGAAGGGCGCGCGGTCGAGGGCGTACGGCTCGGCGTAAACGGCGATCGAGGCAAGCGGTGCGATCAGCAGCCACACCCGGTCTATGTACACTTCCCGAACTGCTGCTGCACTGGGCCCGAGCAAGCGGACGGGAGGGGTTAGTTGGGATGAGCGGGGTCGCGGGGCGAAGCGTAACAAAAGAGGCCGTTTCCTAGTAATTTCGTCCATAAGTGAGAAACCTGTCCGATGCAGGGACTGCCACTCGGGCTCCGCGTTCGGGAGCTACACCTGCTGGCCCCAGCTTCGCCTATGCAACCTCCGTCGGCAGCGACCCATCGGACGTCGTCAGCTGTCAAATCAAGTTGGCCGCGCGCGTCGACCTCCTGGTGTGACGTCATCGTGCCAGCGCTGGCAAGGGGATCCACCGAGCGTATCAGATTTTCTCGCTCTCCACAATATGCTCGTATACGTGTCAGACTCTACAGCATCCTTCGCGCTGGCGCAAGGATCCCCGCAGCTGGATGTATATATGCTCGTCGACCATGACCATCGCCCGACCTCAGCATGCTGAAGCAAAGTAAGCGGTAGAGCATGCGAGGGCTTCGCCGAGTGTTCGTGTTGCCCCTTCAGAGGTGCTGTCTCATCTACTTTTCCTGATTAATGAACGAAATTTATGGCAGTCTGCGGATGGTGTCTCTCTCACGGTCCATCATTGGAGCGAGGGCGTGTGACCGTAATCGACATTTCCTCTCCAGTGTGCTGCTCGCCTTGTGTAATATTTTTTCTTCTACATCAACCCCTGATGGATCCCATTCGTGAATGGGAGATACGACAACCGAAGACTCCGTCGTGGAAGTTGGTTTCGCATCTTCTGATATATCTGCATGTCTATCGCACTGCTCGGGCTCCGCTCAACAGCACACGCCTACATAAATCTCCCTTGTCCACCTCTTCTTTATGCCTGCGAATGAGTGGAGAGAGACACGGTGGCGCCCCGCTGTGATTCCACGAGCCGACCGCGGAGCTGCAGTCGTTGTAGACGTTCTATTCACCTTCGCACCGACTTCTCCCTTGCAATAACTTAAAGGCCGTCTGGTTCGACATTCTCGATGACGGGCTGAACTTCATTTTCGTAGTCCGTGCAAGTTACTCCTCTGTGCCTGCCTTCCGGGAAAGTAGTGTTCGGATCTCGACAATCTCCCCGTATTTACTCTGATGAGTCGCGCTGGCGTCGCGACAATATGCTCTCCATCGCAGCAAGGTACCAATTCATGATAGTACTCACATAGAAACAAGACTATACGCTGTTCCGACTAAGGTGAGCCTCCCCTGGTCGGAACACCAATATATTCTTGTTTCCATGCGCGCGAAAAGCAGGGTTTCGCCTAAAGTTTATGCGGCTTTCCCCACTTGCAACTCGTCAAAGAGTGCCTGGGGACGCACAACGATCTCAAAAGTGAGTCTGTCCGACATGCGGAAGATGCATCACCGCATCGTATTCTATAGGTCCTCGGCCCCTTTAACGATGTCGCCCGTGGTTCCAGAACGGTCAGTCCCTGTGAGCTCAGGCTATTCCAAAGTCTTCTCTTACATAGATCCGACGCGAACTTGGGACAATTGCCAGTGCCGTATTGATCGAGTTTGATATGGTGGCTCCCAGTGGACTGACGGTCTGTCGTGCTTCCTTGCTGGCATCTCACCAACCCCTGCTTCTACTTTTCAAATCTGGAGGGTCGTCTAGGGTCGCTCGCTGTCCTGCGCAGGCCGAACGCCGGTGGCCCGGAATCTCCTTTTCCTCGATCCTCTGTTTTTTGCTCCTCGTAAGCTGCGGGGGCGGCAGTGCGGTGCGAGATATTTTTTAGATCTTGTTGTGCCTTCACAAACAGCTGTCGATGGCTGCGGACACGCCTGGGTTCTTTGGACTGTGCTGAGGGATATATTGGGGCGGGATGTACTCTCTGAGAGACCGGTGCAGACCCCCTAGATGCTGGGTGATTGCGTTTGAGCCCGTTGAAATTCTCGGAACGAACGTATCAGAGGTTCGAACAGAAGCGGGCATCCTGCATCGTCTTCGCTGCGATGGTGCACGCGGGAGAAAAGTGCAGAAGGCGGTGCTTGTCGACGTGACCGACATGAGTACCGCGACGCCCTGCAATTGTCGAGACGCCGGATTCCTCTCGTACCTCGTCCTGTTGCGGCGCTTGTTAGCTGCATTCTTCCCTCCACCTTCCGCAATGTCATCGGGCGACTACGATGGGACAGAACCGGTCCAACTGGCTCGCCAGACGTTCGTGTCTTCTCATGTCTGTTCTGCGGTGCTTCGGAGCTCGTGGTTTATACCTTTCTCAGCTTTGTAGGCAACTACCGCAGTATAGCCAGTCGCGCAAGTGATCGTGATCCTTGTACCGAAATGTCCGACCCGAGGCTGACGGAGATTCTCGGCGGCTCTGCTGGTTTTTGACCATGTGATCACGTTTGCGGACGAGATTGACGACATGTGGAGACGCAAAACGTCTGGAGTCACAGTGCTTTTTATTTTAAATCGCTTTTTAGGCTTCACGTTCGCCGTCGCCGTCGTGCTATTGACGCCTATGTGGACTACACACCTAGTAAGATGCCTATCACATCGTAAAGGGTGCTCGTCGACTCATTTCCTACCCTACACAGAGGTCTGGTCGTTTTTCGATAGAAGGTCGAGTCCAGCTCATGGGCTGGTCTTGACAGTTGTGATGCCACAGATATGGTATTCGACGCGTGTCTAGAACCGTTCTCGATCGAATGGGCCGGTAAGTCAATATGCGATGTGTCTCCGATAATTCAGCATTTGTAGTCTTCACGATTCTTCAGCGTTCGCGGCTCGTCGGGTGTATGCAGTAGGGGGTCCCGGTCAGGTATGGCTCCCTGCCGCAATAGTGTTCGTGCTGGGCTCGGTGCCTTTCGCCACGAACCTGGTATTGTCGGTCCCGCTAGAGCGGAAGTGGTGTGCGCTGACTTGCTAGAGGTCTCGGTAATAACTACATCTCAGCCTCGTGTTTTATCGCCGTCGTTCCCGGTCTGGGTCCCAGCTGCGTGGTACGTTTCGACCAGGTGCGACCTACGATGTAGGCACATTCTCTTTCCCCGTCGGGTGTTCTGCTGACACAGGCCGGCAGATGTAAGGCGACCCCTTGTCTCGTGCGGTGACGTTCGCGGATGCACGACTTACTCTACGCCCCGACGGTCATCATCGCAACACGCATCAGTGTCGTTTTGGCGGACGTTATTGTGCTCGTGATTACGTGGATGCGGACATACAGCATCAAGAGATGTGCAAACTCGGCTCACGTGGAGGCTCCCCTGGTGACGCTCTTACTACGAGATGGCGGGTACAAATATGGTCAGCCAAAGCCTCCCTCCGTTCTACGCTCATCCCTCTGTTAATCCCAAAGGCTCTTTGCACTTCACGTGAGTACGGTGTGTGACAGCCGATCGAGCTAACGATAACCACAACAGGCTCCTCCTTTTGCCGAACCTCGCGCAAACGCTATTAAACTACTATGGTGTAACCAACACACCACCGACACGTCTTCTCGCTGCAGGTGCGACAATGATCTCGTCCACTTCGTCACGTTCGCTTTGTCCCCTCCTATTTACCAGAGAACGCACTTGCGCTCACGCATCGTCGCAGATTGCACCTGTGTCATCGTCTCCCACTTCCTCTCGAACCTGCGACAGGTGAACACGATGGAACGACCTCTCCTCCGGGCCCACGCCTGCGCGGAGCTCGCAATTCGCCTCGTGGATCGTCGGGAATATGGGCGCATCGCATCGCTCCGTCTCCGTTCTCCCTCCCAAGTCGACGATGTGTACGGGTCGGACCTCCCAGGAAATGACCCGAATAAGTCAGATGCTGATGGTGCAAGGGGGCGCCAGCGAGGAGGCAGTGAGGGGAGACATCGAGCTCGTTGAACACGACGTCTCTTCGCAGCCGCACGGGATGGACATAAATAGTCGTCGCTGCCCGACAGACGGACGGAGAAGCTATATATGCGTATAAGTGCGTGCTCATCCTTTCTCTTTATCTCGACTGTCGTCTTTGGTACTCGATTCGCTGTTGTCGTCGACGGTAGGGCAGTAGGGGGTTCCTAGTATCGCCGCTCGTGATTCTCGACGCATCTGGCACCGAGCGTGTCGAATTTTCTCGCTCTCGGCAATATGATAATGCTCGAGGCGCGTGTCAGACTCTACAGTTCGCTGGTGCAAGGATCACTGCAGCTGGATGTATGCTCGTCGACCGCGACCTCAGCGGGTACTAGCCTCCGCGTCAGAACGCTCGTCGTTTTAATGCGGCGCTTCGAGTTGCGGGTGTGACGCACGCTGTCGATCGGGTGGGTTTACTCATCCTTGAGCTTGAGCACAGGACCCTGGCGTTGGCGGTTCGCCTCACATAGTCTGTTGATACAGGAGGAAGACGGGAGGCCTGGGATGCTTATCGTGCACACTTCGGTGTAGCGCTAGACCGTCATGATCAGCTTCTTCCGTGTTGCGACATGCACCTCTCACACTCAGTTCGCCATATATACCCATACCTTCATGGCCGTCAATTTGGTACCGTCAATCTCGTAACAAATAACTCGCGCTAACTTGCAAACCCGCCGCGACGGCATTCTACGCATCACCCGAACCCCGCAACCTCCGTGCACAAGCGCACAACTCACTCACTCAGCAGCGTCCTCGACCTCGTTCAACTCGTGCGCGAGCTTCACAACATCGTTCTACGCCACACCACTCCGTCAGCTCATCATCAGCCCGCAGGTCTCGTGCGCGCGACTCACCCCGTCCCTTGTGATCTCAACAGCGGGGTCTCCCTCTCTGGCGTGGCGGATCGCAGTGTTGCCCTGCCCGCATACGCATCAGGACTCTCGCGGAGGGCCCCCGGACGCGCGCTCACCTTGTCGCTCGTCACCCGCGCCGAGCCTTCCTCCACGACCGCGGCGACCTTGCCCGTGGCGGTCCCGCCGCCCCACGTCCATCTGCGCACGGGTCAGATCTCACAACGCACGCAGAGAGGGCGCGCTCACGAGACGTCCTGGCCCTCTTCGAGCACGTCGGCGACCTGTGCGCTCAGCGCGGCTCAGCGGCCCAGCGTGCGCGCCGCGCGAGTGGCTCACCTCGTGGCCGGCACTCTTGTCGGCGGAGCCCGCCTCGGCCGCGTCGGTATTGCTCTGGGCGCCCATGCGCGCGTTAGACTCTCGCGGCGGGGGGCGGACTAGACTCGAGTGCGCACCCTCTGCACCTCGTCCTCGTCCGGGAATGGTATCTGGCTGCAGGGTATGCCTTTGCAGCGCGCACTTGGGGGCGCGGGCGTGGGCGCGACAGGTCGGGCGCTGCGCGGACGGGCGAGTGGAGGGGGGTGTGCTCACCGGGTGGCGCTGTCTTGGGCGGGTTCGCGCTCTTTGGCCATTTGTGCGGTTCGTACGGGGTTTGGATTTGGGTTTGGAAGGGAAGGCTGCAGGGGGGGTGTGGGTAGGGCGGCCGTGTTTTATACGTGCGAAGGCGCGCCCCTATGATATGTCGGCCTCCGAGTCCGTGGTTGGGACATCCGTTGACAGCGACGCGTCGGAGGTCGTCCGCTGTCGCGCGTCGACAGCCTCGTGACGTCATCGTGTCTAGCGCGGGCACGCAAGGATCTCCGAATATACTCCGTAGTCCAGCTGCATCTCGCTTGTCGTTTTCTCCGCTGCATGCTTTGCCCTGCTGCAGTCACAGTCGGCTCTCTTCTCCGTTTGGCTCTAGATCATATGTGCGGCCGGCGCGGATCCCCGAGCCCACAATTTTGAGCTGTATAGTTATTGCGTACGTTCCACCGCTTCCCGTATATTGATTAGGTAAAAGGTTGCTCCCTTGGTTCGCGTCTCGATGGTCTCTCTCCGTCCTCTAGGAGAGCCTTCGTGTACCGCTCTGCCGCACGCGATCTAGCTTGTCCCTCCGCATTGATCTCCAACCACCCGCTATCTCGCTGCTGCCATCCCGACTACTCCATCTCCTTGCAGCCATCGCAATGCCACACAACCTCGAATCGAGCTTGCAAACACTCACTCGCTCCGAAGCCCACCTGGCACCCTCGCCCTTCCGCGGCAGTTGGCCCGTCTCTACCGCAGTTCTCGGACGTACGTGTGTTGCTCACGAGTCGGTACCGGTATGGCCTTCGATTTTGCTTTTTCTTGAAGCCAAGTTCGACCGGGGGGCGCGCGCGAGGGCCTCGTCGGTCCCGACACACACTTCGCACCTAGTGTGCGGGACCGGCGGCGACTGCGTTCCCTATCTCATCTCATGAAGACAGGCAGACCGCCCGCGCCGGCCCTTATTCCCCCCGCGCGTCGGGTCATTCTGTCCACCGCCAGCGCACGCCTCTCGAGACCGCACCGTCGCGCCCGTCCCCGTCTCGTCGCATGCTTTCAGTCTCTACCGCGCCCTGGTCGTCCGGCGTATATCGCTCACGGACTCAAGAATCGCAGATACTAATAACCTCCACGTCCGCTTTCTCTTTCTCTTTCTTCTATCGTACAAAAGCCACGTTGCGATACGGTCCAACCGCGTACTCGTCGCCTCGCACCTCCGCCGCCGCCGCCGCTCATATCCCGAATCAACGGTCGTTTTATGTCCCTTGCCAGCGCACGTCTCTCCGCACCCCGTCCGTGCTCAGCGCGCGACCGGGTTCTGTCCCGGCGCGCTCTTGCTCTCTCTCGGTCGCTCGGGCAGGGCGGGCGCAAGATGCGCTTGGAGGGTCATGGAGGCCCTGGGACCCCAACCCAGATCGACGCGCAGAGGCACGGTCCCGAGCAAGTATCCCCTGTATCCCCCCGCAGACTCCCGCTCGCACGCGCACAAACACCCGACGCGGCTATGCGCACCCTCGCCCCGCGACGCGTCGATTCGCTCCACCCGCCTCGTGCATGTTCGCGCCGCGCCATTTCACGCCGTTCTGTCGAGGCGCGCCCTGGAACGGCAGCGGTCGAAGCTGCGGGCAGGGAACGAAACGCTGCCGGCCGGCGCACACTGCCCCAACGCGAACCCCTCCTCACCCGGCGTCGCCCCGCGGCGAAAATCGTTATTACGCCAAAGAAGAAAAAAGAAAAAAAAGAAAAAACGTCCAAGGTCGAGTCGCGAAGGCATGGTCCCGGCAGCCTGTCGCAGACTCGCGCATGCGGCACGCCGACTCGGACTATGCGCAAGTCCCCGTACGCATCGCGTCGCAGAGAAGCGCACGCGCGAGCACGCGAAACGCCCCCATTAAGATTTACAGTAATCGTCAATCCTTGCGAGACGTCCCTCGTCTCCAGCCGTCACGATGCGCCGTACGCACGGACATACGAGGCTGGGCCCGGAGGAAGAGCGGCGGAAGTCGGGCTTGGTATGTTATTGCCCCCCTCCCCACCCCCTTCTTTACCATGCCGTCAGGAGTCGAGACTACTCATGGATGCTCGGGGTGATTACTTGCGTGCAGGCCAGAGAAGCAGAGTTGCGCTACGCTCTGCGCCTATTGGCTCAGCAAGGATAGGTCTGCCTCAACGGCAGCAATACTGTCAACTAGCGCACGGCTCCCCCACTCTCCAATGCGAGTTTCTCCACGCTAGCGTCCGCGGACCAAACTCCCGCCCGAACATGTATAGCGGTGAAAATCATAATTACACAAAATATTACTTCCAAGACTTATATACGCCCACTCCCACAAATCGTACAGACCGAAAACGCAACCGTGACAAATAAGTTAGGAAGCCAAGCCGCACTCCGCGGACGCTCCAGCTTACCCACACCGATCCGGGTTAGGGTTCACGAAAGGCACGCAGCCGTCCCGAACGAGATGCCGGAGAAGTACGGCCCCAGGTGGTTCGCGATGGACGACTCCAGCAGCGCGCTCCCGTCCGCGCAGTGCTATCGCCGGAGGTAAAGAGATAAAGACATCGCGAGCCAGGGTAGATCAGAGCCGGTGCATCGTCAGCTAGCGGACAAAACATGAGACCGCTCGGGGCAATAGTAGTGATATGCGCCTCGCCCGAGGGGTGCTGGTACTGCAGCCACTGCGGGGGCACGCGCGGAACCGGGTCCTGCTGGTTCGTGACGTGCGTGAAGCTCTGGAACTACCCAAAGCGGCACGCCGTGGTCGGTGCTCAGTGGGGGGGGTCGTAACAGATCGGAGACGCACCAGGCTGTCGACGAGGTCCGCCCACTGCTGGTTGCCCACGCGCGGCAGGCCGAACACGATGGACCCCACCTGGACGTCGCCCGGGAGCGCCATGCGGAGCATGACCGCGTCGAGGGACGCGACGGCCGCGCCGAGCGAGTGGCCTGTCACGAGCACGTTCTTGTACCCGCTGGACGCGAGCGCGTTCCGCACGGTGGAGAGGACGAGGTCGGCCGTGCGGCCCTGCGCTTTGTGGAACCCGTCGTGCACCTGGGTGCCGCCTGCGCAGCGGAAACGTGGGCTTGGGGAAGGAGAGGGGGGAGGCAAGGGGAGACGTACCGCTCGCCTTGGGGAAACGCGTCGCGTTGGGCGGCACCTGCTTGAACTCGGCGTCGTTGAGGTCCGAGAAGAGCTTGTACGGGTCCGTGCCGCCGTGCGCGACGACGACGCTCTGCGTCTGCGCGTCCTGCGCGATGAAGTCTGCGATCACACAGGTGGGCGTTAGCACGCGCGCCGCAGTGGAGAGGGAGGCGCATACAGTACGGGACCTGCGCCTCGTTACCCCCTGCGGTGAGCACGTGGACACCGGGGAGGGCCTGGCATGGCCCGCCGCAGCTCCAGCTGGTGACTTTGCTCGAGGGGCAGTACACCACGCGCGAGAATTGGGCCGGGCGGAGGAGGTTGTTGGTTATGTCGCTCTGCGAGACGGGCGTCGGCGCGCCGTTCGCGGTGGTGCCTTTCCCGAAGTTGATGCCGAAGAGCGGGGAGGCGAGCACAAGGGGAAGTAGGGGCACGAGTGCCAGGAGGGTGCGCGTGAGGGTGTGCATGTCGGCCGAGGGGAAGAAGAAAAGGCAGGATCAACCTGGTTCGAACGAAATGAGGGGAATGTGAAAGGAGGGATGCCCGAGACCAGAGACCACCAGGGCTGTGGGCGTGCACGGACAGGGATGGAGGAGTAGATGCTCCTGGTTTTGTCTTCGTTACGCCCGAAAGAATGGGCACATACTACCGTCCGCCTCGCCGAGTGCCTGTCACTGCCAGAGCGAGAGATATCTCTCAGATGATGATCTTGGATAGATGATCGATCAGAGAGGACCCGGATGCACCACCACTACTCCGTACAGAGTGCCAAGATGCAGAGAACCATATGTTGGTCGTTGGGTAGCACGTGGAGAAACAACGACGCCTACAGCGGGAGGCAGCCTCCCGTGGTCCATTGTCCGCCTCAGACCACTTTGACCTAAAGTTCCACTGTCAGCCACGTCAGCAGAAACCACATCATATCTCTCATGTGTTCAGCGAAGGCAGTGACCACAGACAGATTCGAGTTCAGCCCGCACCGGATTGTAGCAAAACATTGACTCGGACGTTAGCCATCGTGATCATCCTCAGGATGCAGAGTATGTATCTCGGTCAACTGTTGGGCTCGACCACTCCCAGGCGTACTGGTCGGTGAGGCTGAGCACACCGAGCAACGATCATGACTGTTCAGGAACGTGAATCAGATCTTCTCCGGAGTCGCGACAGCAGCTGGGTCCGAGAGAGTTGTTTCTCCCACTAGGTCCTGCGGGAGAGGCGGTAAGAGCTGGAATACGTGCCCCCCCGGACGGCAAACTGAGCGGTGGGAATGCGGCGGAGCGGGCGCTCCGAACGGTGCACTTACCGAAAAGGCAGTCGACGTTGGCCTCGCCGATGGTCGTATCCTCCTTCTTCGCATATGTCGTCTTTGGTCCGTTACGCGTTCAAAGTTGGGAGGATGAACAGCTCCGGTCTACCTTCACAAATCAGAGCTGCCTGCGACATGTCCACGTACGGGTGTGGCCGTTCTCTCCGCACGACGGACGTGACTCAAAAAATGGACCTCTTCGTCCGGGTCTGAGAGTGATGTCGTACTCGACTGCCGCTTGCCATAATCCCTACCACACTCCTGCGCTCCGCCCATTACACTAGCTACCTCCCTCTTCTTTCGCGTAACTCTGTCTCTCCCATTTCCTACCGGGTGATCCTCAGACGTAGCCGGTGTTGCGCGAGCTGGTTTGGGCGTCCATGCGAGCATGTGTTCTCCCGTGCGAGTTTGCATCCATGCATCCTCATTCGCATTGTCTGTTAGTTCATCCTCTCGTTTGGTGAACGGCAGATATGAGAGATAGGAACGATTGTCGTGCAGGGCCGTCCTCAGGTTTCACAGGTGCATAATTTCGATTCTGTATGTTGATCCTGTGTTATCTGGTATCCATCTCCACAGCACTTGCGCGTCCGCAGCTCTTTCCCTTCACTACCCGACCCAGGTTCCTGTATGTTGACATTCCTCTACTCTGCAGCCGCGGTCGTTCCTACTCTATCTCTAGTATCACTTCGTCCTACGTTCCGCCTCACCTTTAGGCTTGTCCATCTCACTCTCCGCACGCCCGCATCATTTGGTCGTTATTTTTAATGTTCAATCGCAAAAAATGAGAAGCCCCATACTCAATTGTTCCGCCATGTGAACCTGACTCGGCCATCGCAGGCAATCTCCGCATCGGATGTGCCTTCAATCTCAATTCTCGAGGCCTCTCTCTAATCCATCCGCGTCGCTCCGTCTCGCCCTCCTGCGGCGGTCCCGCATCTCTAGTTCATTAAGTTCAACTCTATAAACGAGAGGCCGTCCTCGTTGTTGGAGCTCAGGCGGTGAGCAAAATTCTTCCGCCGACTCCGTCTGCGAGTGCCCTTGTGTATTTCCTCACATCGGAATATATCCGAATATTTTCTTCCGCGGTGCGCGTGCGTGATCTCCATGCCTCGGGAAGCTTATCCTCCTTTCTGCCCCCACTTTCTGCACCCATTAATGCAAGAGATGAGTACGCCGATTCAGCACTGCGGACAAGATGTTCCAAAGACACGGATGGTGCACGAGACGGCGTTTAGCTGCGGCTGGGACTCAGAGTGATAGCGTACAGTTCATACTCGACGTCCGCTCGTCCCAGCACCGGTCTTCCCCTCCCCGGCCTCTCCCTTAAGTCGGCGAAGGGGAGGGCAGATGAAAGACAGTTACCGTTTTGCGTTGTGGATGTGATACTCGGGTGAAGTGAACACGATCGTGTGGCTCCCTGGGGCGAGCCTGCACGCCGCACAAGACGCTGTAGACGTCCCAAACCCGATTCTTCAACAACCGCAACCACTGTTTCTTTTGCGTGCTTTTCGCGTCGACCTACTTGTACTACTTGCGCGCATTGACGAAACTTCAATCTAGCTTCGAATCGATGGCGGCTCCACAGGGAACTTGGACCTCAACAAGTCATCGGCATCTCGATCATTGATCTCGATCTCAAGGCGGAGGTTCGATCGCCCACGAACACCTTGAAGGAGAAGGAATCTGGCGGGGCGGGTCAGACCATTGCAACGACAGCAGTGCGAGATGTCTTTGTACCTTTTGCTCCGAATGAATAACGTGCTGGCGTCCCGAGCGACCTGAGCTCGAATCAATATCCGCGTGAGTGAAGACTACTCTCTAACGAGTGGCAGGAAAGCGACCACGTTGTCTAGTTTTCTCCGTGGTTGCTACTTTGGCCAGAGGATGCTGGAGTACCCGAGATGGCTGGTCCCAGTTGGGGAGGAAAGGTATAAGAGAAGACCATGAGCGGAAATAGTAGCGGAGGACGCACCGGACGCCAGCATGCGACGAAGCTCGACACCAGCACGATGCCCAGGGATTCCAAAATTTCAAGCTAATCACCCAGGGAGCGAAGTGAGTTTGGCCTTCGGAGAATTTCTGCCAGTACCACCTGTTTACCTCGCGCAGCTCTCGAGCAGGGCATGGCGTCTATGTGGACAAGTATGAGGTCAAATCGGTGGATTATGAGATATCGCTATAGACAGACGCGCTATCTTGTCTATGTCTGAGCCTGAGACGAATCAGTGGTCAGGCCGAAACCAGGCTTATGGCACATGTAATCCACTCTCCCAGCGGAAGCTCCTACTAAGGGGGTTGTGCGCTATCGACCACAGACGACGGCAATCACGGACCAACTCTATTCAATCTACGGGGGACAACGGGCTTCGATACCATACAAGATAGGAAGGTGGACTGACTGAGGAGGCCGTCACTGTGATTCTCCGCGAGGCCACAGGGATCTGGAGATATGACTAGGATGAGCTCACTGCCGTGCGCATGATAATGTTAAGACGACGGCCCAGCGCAACATCATCCCCATCTGTCATGCTCGTCGTTCACAAAACTGGAAAACTGGACAAGATAGAAAGGGATGAAAAGCCAACAGGAGGAACGCGAACACCTGGTGAAGCGGGAGACGAGTACTGCACAATCAATCTATATGGGGAGCTGCAGAAGTAGTATATAGATTGAGGGGGCATGGACGTACCAAAAGGAGCAGCGTAACCTTGAAGGAAATATGAGATCGCAGTCACAGTAGGGCAACCACAAGCCCTAACCCTAAGTCAGTACGCGTTGACTTGAGCGCTGCAGCTCCAAATCCCACGGCTGATACTCCCGAGAGTCTCGTCTGCTTAACACAGTCGAGTCCGGTCTCCTCAGTGAGTATATTCATCCTTGACATGACTATGATCACACAGGCTGACTCTTACATCACACCAGCACCGAGTCTTGGCATTCGCAACCGTGACAGTAATCCACCTAGGGGCTCCATTACGGTGGGGGGCCCTCTCTGTGTCTCTCTGTATCGCTCTGTGCACAGTACAGTCTTATGTTTATTCGGAGGCGACAATAGCTTCCCAGTCACCAAGGAGATACAGGTCGGGCGAGAGAGGCGCGGAGGCAATGGCGGTTCGCGGTGCGATACGCGTAATATCCATTTACATAGAGGAGTATCTCTCTCCGTGACATCCTCCATCTCCCCAGATACTTCGTTTCCAGTAAGATTGGGCACAAAGAGCCAGCGATCCACTGACATATACTTCGTATGTCTCCCGAAAATCTGAAGCATCTCAGTGCCACGCTGACTGCGTTCGATGTACCCCCTCCCAGGAGGCCGTTGGGTGATCCCCTTCTGGATATCTTTAGTTTCGAGAAACACTCTATGTCGGCATTTGCGCCATATCTAAAGCTCGAGAATTCAAGCGTGAGAGACGCGCTGGTATAATTGCTGGTCGTCACTTTGTCGGTCCTCGTCCATTTAACCCCGTAATTTCAGTCCTTGCACAAATGTGAAGAAAACAAACTGCACGGGTAATGCACTTCTTCGTGTTCAACGCAGAGTCGTCGACGATCGTGGTAATGCTGCCAGTACTCACTAAAAGAAGCCATCGCAAGACATCAGCAAGACGACGCGCTGGAGGAGATTATCGCTTTTCTCTTGCTAAGGTTGCGTTATTTGGGCATAGGTGCGTGAGTGCCATTCCACAGGCCAACCCCGAGATGCTTCTCGTCTGCTCTTGCACCTATCTCCGGCTCCTATGATAAACCTCGATGATTCCGATTGTGCACGGGAGATATGAAAGACAAGGACACTGTCATGGAAGTAGGCTCCGCACCATCAGAATATGTCTGGATGTCTTCTTCTGCAGTGCGTGTGCGTGATACGCGCTCCATTGAACATCAGCATCTCGGCGCGGCCCTCGCCCACCAGTCAGGCTCATCCCCACAGCCTTCCAGTGTGAATACGGCGGTACTGCATTCAGTCCAGCGACAATAAGCTCCAGGGGCAAGGACGGTGCGGCGATAGATGTCATTTTCCCGGAGATGGGGAGCGCTGGTGTGAGGATATACATTATGCTACTCGACCTCCACTCAGCGGCACCATCCCTGCATCAATGCCCCTTCTTTTCGATGTTTCCTTCGGGCCTGCGAACATCGAGTGAGAGACACAGTGCT